TGAGGGATTCAGAGCCTCATAGACGCCTTTGCTTGCCTTTCCTATTCTCCTCTTCCTCTCCACCTCAAAGCAGGCCTGGAGTCTTGAGGAGCATCGTCGCAACCCTGCTGTGTGGATCACCGCTAGAGAGGAGGACGCTTGACCTCCTTCACCCTCTCATAAGGATCTGCAAGGAAACAGGGATATACGATCTCCCTAGGTAACACAATCTACTCTATACGTAGTTTTATGTTTCGCGGATTTTTCGCACCAATCTTCGCACGACGACGAACATCTTTTTGGGAATCGGGGATTTTGTTTTCTTGTTCTTCCGCTGCGCATGTGATGTCGCCCCCAAGATTTCCCAACAAGCAGGACCGTACCTCTGATGGCGTCTGACATTGCCGTTGGCGTTGCGTGGAGAACCGAACTACCGCAGGGTATGGGCGAGCAGGCCGCGCAGGTGTGGTCTCGGGCACCATGCGGCCGAGGAGCACGATGCGGGCGGACAGGTCGTGCAGGTGTGTCTCGGGGAGCATAGAGGCGAGGAGCACGACGCAGGCGGGATGACCACGCAGGTGTGTCTCGGGGAGCATGGAGCCGAGGAGCACGACGCAAGCAGGCTGGCCGCACATGTGTGTCTCGGGGGGCATGGAGTCGAGGAGCACGACGCGGGCGGGCAGGCCGCGCAGGTATGGTCTCGGGCACCATGCAGCCGAGGAGCACGACGCGGGCGGGCAAGCCGCGCAGGTGTGGTCTCGGGCAACATGCGGCCGAGGAGCACGACGCAGGCAGGCAGGCCGCGCAGGTGTGGTCTCGGGCAACATGTAGCCGAGGAGCACGACGCAGGCGAGGGCGTCAGGTGGCGATAAACCCGGGTCGTTGAACAGCCGCCAGTAGCGCTCCGATGTCGTGGCAGGGCGTTCGTCTCGGGGTTCATCACGCAAGGGATGTTCTTCTGGGGTGTTGACCGAACGCGACCCCATGGCTGCGGGTTCGCCAGAGTGGATCTGCTAATCGCTCGACATTCTGGGCCCTCCTTCTAGCGTTAAAATGTTAGTGTAAACAACTTTATGCCGTGGCCTCGGGGCCGACGCGGCTTGGTTCGGGTCCGAATGCGTGGGGATCTTGCGCGGCGTTCCTCGGGACAGTTGGTGTGGCCGGTTACGATGGTCCGGGCGGGACGTTGCGTGGGGAGTGAAGCTTTTACGCGGCGTTGGGAAGATGCAACCTCGCCCTTGTATCTGCACACAGGTCGGGTCGGAAGCTCGGCCCGACCCCTCCGACGATCAAGTTAGCTCATGTGGAAAGAGTTTTTTAGTGAAGAAGTGTCCTCCTTTTCATTTAGAACTTTGGGGTATTTATATGTAAGTTTAGCGTTACCTGATGTGCTTGCCTGCAGGAGCAGGACCGTACCTCTGATGGCATCTGACATTGCCATTGGCATTGCGTGGAGAACCGAACTGCCGCAGGGTATAGGCAAGCATCGGTCGTCGTCCTCCTCTCTGCCTCGGTCAAGCGCGTGGGTCAGACAACGATGAAGTCGTTGTCTGAGAGCGGGTGACGTCAGCGCACGTCGAGTCGACATAATTGCCCTCCTCCTCGGGCAGAGTGGTGCCTAGGTGTGACTGACGTCGTGGCACGTCATGTTGCCATTATTACCCTCATCAATACGAGTCTCTCTTGATCTCAAGAACAAGCAATAGAGTTGCGACTCGTAGAGCACAGACTTGGAAGTGATGGATACAGAGTTTTGCTTGACCTCAGCAATTAATGGACGCATTTCGTGATATATAATAGATCCTGTACAGTATTTCCCGGTCGACCGGACGGTATCATCAGGTCAAACTAGCTTGATCTCGGCCATTAATGGTCTTACAGTCCTTTCCAGGCAGCAAGAACCTCCTGAAATATTTCAGCGATGAGTTCCCTATCGGCACTCTGCAGAAAGGCATTGAAGTCTTCAGGGATCTCGTAGATCTTTCCGAAGCTCACCAGGTATCTCATGCAACTGCTCTTCAGCTTCGGCAAACGGTAGAGATGGGCAGTTTGGAGCCTCTCCATCACGTTCTTCGTATCAATGTCCTCGAGGAGGCTCTCATGGCATGCCTCCTTCATGTCGGAGATATCGTACTTGTCGGCGGCTCGGAGGAGCGCGAGGCGGTGGGTGAGGAACTCGTCGGCCCGGAAGCTGCCGTAGATGTAGTTGAGGAAAGCCTGGCAAGCCCCGAAGGACATGTCGGATATGTTCACAGTCGAAAGCTCCTTCTCCTTGAGGTCGTGGGAGAACATGCTACGGAAGACGGGGGACCTCGTCGCGAGGACGGCACGGTGTGCTCCGATGCTGCCCTCAGCGGCATTGACCGTGATGTCGGTGTGGATACCGTCGGCCAGCATCCGGCTAAGAGGGGCGAGTGCAGTGGTCTCTGAATGCTGCTTCACCTCAGAACTGTCCCAAATGGAAGAAGGCTCGCCACCCTGAACTCTCCAAACCAAAAATAACAGCGAGCAAATCAAAGGCATACACACATACACGGAACAAGGGGAGATGTGCGTGTGCTTACGGATGGAGGTACAATCTTTAGATCAAGGAACTCGACGTCAATTATGATCCTGCCGGTAAACAAGGTGTCAGTTGCCCACACAAACTCGTCGCTGTTCTTGAGCTGCATGTCACAGATTCCTGAAACATCAGAAACACTCGTTATGTTTTTGTTTCATGAAGAACCAGAAACAGTCTTCGATGGGGAAGAAGGCGACCTGGATGGGTGAGAGTCTTGCGGTCGGGAGCGGAGGGGGAGACGATCTTGATGACGAAGGAGGCAATGGGCGGACGCTCTCTTGTCAGGCTCGAAACCTCAGGGTATAGCTTCACATACAGTTGTTTGTTCTTCTCCACTGCGAGATACCTTCTCATCGCAATCAACACAAATAACATACCAAATCAATTTACAGGGAAAAGAACAGAAACTCTGAAGTCTATCTACAGAAGCATGATTTCTAGTATGGATAAAGATGAAGATTACGTGTCTGGTTTTCCAGTTTGGAAATACGCAGAACAGAGTTACAGAGCATCATCCGAAACCTATCTCTAATCAACACAAGACGTGAGGACAAATCTGAACATGAAATTAGATAAACCGGACGATTTCAAATCCGAAACTTTCCTTCTTCTCCATTAAAGACGAGATCTTTAAGCTTCTAGATCTTCTCGGTCGAAACTAAATCCAGTAAGATTCAGGAGAAAGAAGCAGAGGATGATGAGAGGGGATCTTTAAGACCAGTTCCAGAGGCCGATCTTGAAGGGGTCGGACTTGCGGTAAGTGCAGGCGGAGAGGGTATCGATCCGCCATTGCGCGAGCCGCGGCGCGGTCTCCACCCGGTATGCCCGGTTGCTCATTCCCGCCGACGCTGCCGCCGCGATCGCCGCGGTGACCTCATTGATGCAGTCAAAGATTCCCAGCAGCTCCCCCGCGTTTCCCAGCTTCGCACGTCGCACTTCCTCCTCCAGTCCCCTCTCCTCATGTACCACCCAAGAAGAAACAAATCAGCGTAAGCAAGAGGAGTGGCAGCACCAGTAGAGGGCCGACGAGGCAAAGTAAGAAGAGGGAGAGCAAGGAAAGGTGCTTCTTTTATTGCCTTCCACTCCACTTCCAAAGTCGAAGCTCTGTCTATATATAAAGAATACAAAGGAGGAGAGTGATGATTCTGATCATAAATATTATTCTGGTAATTAACGATTAAAATGATTCAACATTTAATGGACTATCATCCAAATTTCACCCATGAAATTGTCAGGATGATGCTCTTGCAACGTCGTCCTTCAGAGAGGACTACATCGCAGTAAGATTGGAGATTTCCTCCTGCATTAACAGCAGGATGACAGTCGACATGAAATGTGGTTGGTGTCCTACCCACGGATAACAAAAGTCAAAAGCGAGAACAAGAATCATGAGCACTCCGAGCGTGGTTTCAACATAATCATGTGAGTCAATGGTGCTTAAATTGCCCTCATCTCTTCTCTTCATCTTCCACAATGAAAGATGGCGTCCTTCCCCTCCCTCTATCGAAGCATAAGACAGATGACTACAGTAAAGTAAAGTAAGGAATCTAATAGCGTTCCGCTGCCGCAAGCAACCGCTGCTACCCAAACCCCCATTAAAGCCGAGGCCTTACGGTGGACACCCACAGCACCTACTCGTCTCGCAAGCAAGTCAATGTGAAAGAAATGTCTGAATGTTAGGTATAATGGATCGGAATGTTAGCTAGAGAGAGAGACTCTTTCTATTCAGAAAAAGAGTATATTATTCAGTATTTGTTACAGTACTATCGCTACGTGTTCGATGAATTGTCTGTGATAAATGAGGCCATAGTCGTTTCGGCAAGTGGCAGTCTCGAGTGAACGACCGGCTTCACACGGTCGAGTCGACGACAACGACGACCGTGACGGCCTTTTGTTTTCCTGAAGTGCCACGTAATGGCAATGTCGTGCCTTATCGCATTGGGCTTTCCCGAATCCCATTCAAACCGTTGAGGTGTCCTTAGAGAAAGGGGACTCACGATATTTTGTATGGGGCTTACGAAGCCCAATAAGAGGAGAGTTTTGCTGCAGAGGAGAGACTGTTTCTTTGTGTGTGTTCTCATATTAGCATAGCAACTTAAATCATCGATCGGTTGTGTCATTGGGTCGAACCAAAAAGAATTCACGTGCTTTGGACATGAGCGTAGTCTTCCACAATGCTTTCCCCATTCCCCACGGCGTCGTCTGTTGGCAACGGCTTGGACAAGAAGCTGCTGTGGATGGCCTTTTCCTTGCAGCAGCAGCAGCAGAAGCAGGCTTCCATCTCGTCCGCCACGATCCTATCCCGTGTAGCTCTGCTCTCCCGCAATGTTCCTGCATCTACCTTGCCGTCCGTTAAAGAAGCTTGCAAGCAAGGAGACCTCACACAGGCCTTCCGCTCGCTGGCTAACTCGCCGCAGTGCCCTCCGCAGGACGCCTACTCATCCATTCTCGAGCTTTGTGCTTCCCGGAAAGCCCCACTGCAAGGCCAGCAAGTCCACTCTCACATTGTCAAATCCAATTCCCTCTCTGATGATGGATTTCTCGGCACAAAGCTCCTTTTCATGTACGGGAAATGTGGCCAACTCCGCGATGCCGAGAAGCTGTTTGATGAAATGCCGAGTCGGTCTATCTTCGCGTGGAACGCGCTCGTTGGAGCCTACGCTTCGAATGACCGTCCTTCGTTGGCCATAGCAACCTTTCAGGAAATGCGTGTCTCGGGAATACTGCCCGATGCTTGCACCCTTGCTTCCGTCCTAAAGGCCTGCGGCGCGTTAGAGGATGTCTATACTGGGACTGCGACGCACGGTTTTGCAGTCAAATGTGGACTCGACTCCACGGGTTTCGTCTCCAATGCGCTCGTTTCCATGTACGCAAAGTGTGGACGGTTCGGCTCGGCAAGGCAGCTGTTTGAGCGGATGGATGAGGAAAGAGATGTTGTTTCTTGGAATTCCATCATATCAGCATGTTTGCAGGACGGGCAATTCTTTGAGGTTCTGACTTTGTTTAGAGAGATGCAAAGGGCCAGCATTCCGATGAACTCGTATACCACCGTCGGCGTTCTTCAAGCCTGTGCAGAACTTTCACTTCCGAGGTTGGGTATGGAAATCCATGCCTCTCTTCTAAAGAACGATGCAAAACTCGAGATTTATGAGTGCAACGCATTGGTCGTCCTGTACGCAAGATGTGGTCGAATCGGCAATGCCATGCAGGTGTTCTGCGAGATGGAGGAGAAAGACACCGTGTCGTGGAATTCGATACTGTCTGGTTATGTTCAAAATGGTTTATATCAGGAAGCCATCGACTTCTTCCGCGAAATTCTCGGGTTGGGTTTTGAAGCCGACCAGGTTTCGCTTATAAGCGTCGCTTCTGCTTCAGGGAGGTCAGGGAACATATTGCATGGAAAGGAAGTGCATGCTTATGCGATGAAGCACGGATTGGACTCCGATTTGCAGGTCGGAAACACACTAATCGACATGTACACAAAGTGTCACTTGATAGATTATGCCGAGCGTGTCTTCTATAAATTGCATAGCAAGGACTGCATTTCCTGGACGACAATGATCGCAGGTTACGCACAGAACTCTCGCTATTCCAAGGCACTCGAGCTGTTCAGGCAAGTTCAGACGGATGGAATGAAGGGGGACTCGATGATGATCGGGAGCATATTACAAGCTTGCAGTGGTATGCTCTGTCTTTCCCTACTGAAACAAGTCCATGGTTACGCTATCAGACATGGCCTGCTGGATCTGGTACTCAACAACACGATCATCGATGTCTATGGAGAGTGTGGAAAGGTTTCTCGTGCTTGCCATGTCTTCGGAACGATACGGGATAAGGATGTTGTGTCTTGGACTAGTATGATCACTTGTTATGTCAGCAACGGGCTCCTAAACGAAGCTTTGTGTTTGTTCAGAGACATGGTGGCGGCCGATGTGGAACCTGATGCAGTATCACTGATCACTGTGCTTGCTGCCGCTGCTGGTTTGTCATCCTCCATGAAAGGGAAGGAAATCCATGGTTTTATGTACAGAAGACGGTATCTCACCGAAGGAACAGTCAGCAGTTCACTCGTGGACATGTACGCCAGGTGCGGAGACATAGAGAACTCCTTTAAAGTATTCGGAAATGTCAGACGCAAAGATTTGGTTCTGTGGACAACCATGATCGACGCCAGTGGGATGCACGGCCAGGGAGAGGAAGCAATACGCCTCTTCCGGGGACTGCAGGAGACGGGTATAGTCCCCGATGAGGTTACCTTCTTGGCCCTTCTCTATGCCTGTAGCCACTCTGGATTGGTAGACGAGGGAAAGTACTATCTGGATGTGATGACAGGTGAGTATGGTTTGGAGGCATGGCCGGAACATTACGCCTGTCTCGTCGATCTTCTCGGTCGCTCTGGTAGGACAGAGGAAGCATTCGAGTTCATAAAATCAATGCCTGTGAAGCCGACAGCTGCCGTCTGGTGTGCTCTCCTCGGTGCCTGTCGAGTGCACCTGAATCACGAGCTGGGCAAGATTGCAGCGGAGAAGCTACTCGAGTTAGAGCCTGAGAATCCTGGAAACTATGTGCTCATTTCGAATGCGTTTGCGGCGACGAGGAACTGGGAAGAAGTGGGTGCAGTGAGAGCGATGATGGAAAGGAGGGGATTGAAGAAAGACCCGGCATGTAGCTGGATCGAAGTGGGGAAGAAGGTGCACGCGTTCGTTGCGAGAGACAGAACACACAAGGAATCAGTCGCAATTCACTCGAAGTTGACAGAGATCATCGAGAGACTCAAGAAGGAAGGAGGGTACACCGAGAACACCAAGTTCGTTCTGCAAGATGTGCCGGAAGAGGAGAAGATAAAGATGTTGCACGGACACAGTGAGAGGCTTGCCATGGCTTTCGGTATGTTGTGTGCCCCGAAGGGAACACCGATCAGGATCACCAAGAACCTCCGAGTATGTGGTGATTGCCACGAATTCACCAAACTCGTAAGCAAGCTGTATGAGCAGGAAATCATCGTCAGGGATGCCAACCGGTTTCATCACTTCAGAGGTGGATCCTGTTCTTGTAGAGATTTCTGGTGAGTCCAAAGGTGTCTCATGAGATGTCTATGCTTCTGGTGATGGTTCTTAGAAGCTGTTGGGTGGTCTCAGAATTGAAATGAAAGAAGAGAGCAGAGTAAATCGAATGATGGAAATAAACAAGTAGGCTCGACTTGCTGCAGTACCAATCCAAATTTGATGTCGAAGATATTATATGCAGAGGTCCGTCCCCTCAGCCCCACACCCAAATACAAAAAAAGACAGGAACCTCCGTCACCGACCAGTATCAAAAAGAAGAAAGCATCCACTGGTGGATCACACCTTCCATGCATGGCCAAAAACTACACTTCCCATCATCATGCTGAAGAAGAAGAAGAAGAAGAAGAAGAAGCCTTCGTTTCGTCGAGGTCTCCAAGCCGAAATTTATAGGTACAGGAAGCGCGGAGAGGAAAAGTCCGGTCGCAGCGCGGGCCTTCTCCCCTTTTGTTGCAGTAACCTGGGAATTCATCTTTCCTGAAATCAGCGCAGTCGACCAGAACAAGAGACCACTCGGAAGCAAGTTCCTCGAGGTTCCATTGCGCGTACGGGCCCCCCATCTTGTGGCTCACGTGGACCTCTCCATGAGGTTGGAGCATGCGGCATGCGTTTCTGAAGAATCCCATGACCAACCTTCGGTGCAAACTATACCATAAAGATGATCCGACAAAATGAGATCGAAACATGCAATCTTGGTGCGAAAGCTACTACTCCAGGGAGTAAACTTGGCGAGCGATGCAAATAGAGGAAGAATATTTAAGATGGTCAAGGCACGTACTCGATCACCGGCATCAGGCCCTCGTTTCCGCTGAATCCTGCATGTGGGAAGTTGAAGACGATCCGATCAAATCTTCGCATCGTCAGCTCGCTATGTAACTTCATTGTCGTAGCATCAACTCCGTGCAGCGCGGTCGCCCCCATCTCCCGCAGGCTCTTCAGGTTCGATTTCGCTTTGGAGTACTTTTGCAGCAGGTCATCTGCTTCGCATAGATTCCATCAACGATGTACATAGAAAGATGAATGGCGGCCACTATTTCATTATACAGCCGAGGAAGTAATCCATGGAATGAAGACGGGGAGGGTATGGAAGCGAAGTATTCCCGTGCCTGATGAGCGAGTGTTAAGCCACTCCTTCCCGATTAAGAAATCGGAGAGAAACCCATCAAATCAATGATGCACAGGGAGAGAAACCTCATCTTTCGAGAAACCACAAGAACGTTCGGGTGTACGTGTGAAACCAGCAAGAACAAGACGGGGGAGGAGGAGGGAAAGGGAAGACCGTAGGAGTCGAGGGAGGTGACGACGAGGTTATCGGCGGAGCCGAAGGCATTGGCGAGCGCGAGCGAGAAGGAGAAGTCCCCTTCTCCGACCAGCAGTATCTGCTGCGCCGAGGAGTAATGGCTCAGCCATTTCACTCGCAACGAGGAGTGATGCCTCTGTTGTTTCAGTTTGGCGTCGGCAAACAGCAGCAGCAGCCCTGAGGTAGTCATGCTCAACCTCCCCACCACCTCCGTTCCTCTCACTCTCTTTCTGTGTCCTTCTTATGACGCGAAAAGACTGACAGGAGCGACGGATATATGGAGGAGAGAAGTCGAAGGGTTGCTCCTCCCCTTCGTCTTGGGAGACGATAGCGATCCCATATCGAGCCGGGTGACTCAACCGTCTCGTCGACGTCAACTGTGATTGGACTTCCCGATGAGCAGTAGAAAACGGGTAGAAGCGACCAAATACTGGAGACTTCCTTCGCACACAAGTATATTGTTAGAAGAAGACACCTCTACTGTTCAAATACCACGGCTGAATGAGGAGCGATCAGCAAAGGAAGATTGAGGTGCCTCATGTAGAAAATATTATCAACGTAATTGCAGCCTAATCATTCATCGACCCAAATGTTCATATAGAGAGAGTCTTTGAAAAAGTTGAAAGAAACATACACGTCTTAAAAATATAACATCTCATGAAATGCCGAAACTTTTGATAATAGCCTAATAGCTTTGGAACTTGACACAAAACAAAATCATTACAAATGCCACTGATTCTCTTTGAACAAAGGAGGCGGAAGTCCAAAGGTCGGATAACCCTAACAAATCTTAGGAACATATTGGAATGAATGCATGCATGCGCCCATTCACTGTAATATTTCTTAAAGAATACAGGAACAAAGTACCCAGGTAGGATGTGAGCAAGGTAAGGAAGGAAGAAATGGTACAGACATCAGCAATCATCGGCCAAAGCATTTTAGGATTGAGGATGTTATACTCGATGAGAGAAACCTCAGACCAGTAGATCCTCCGGGAAAGTAGGATACAGAATAATATGAGAGTGCAACAACCTGCAGGTAAAAATGACAAAAGAGTTCAGAAAATATTATCATTCATGTCAACTATGCATATTACCAACAACTGAGATTTATAAAGCTATCCAGCTGAACAAGTAGCATGATTTCAGCAAAGCAAATGGGCCATTAGAAGAATGAATAAACAAACCATAGATTTGAGCTCCATTTTTGCATGTGATACTTGTATTTGCTGACTGTTTTATGTGGACCCTGATTGTTCATATAGGCTCATTTTAGACCAAGAAAAAACTACAATTTTGTTAGCGCATATCAAAAACCTGTGTTGCCTATGCCGCATCCATATAGGTTTGGTGGGTAGGTTGGGCTTATTATTGGACTGCCCCCTATCTTATTTGAGATTAACAACACTTTCAATCTACTTTTAAGAATGAAATCGAGAGAAGCAGGTCATCGATGCAAATGCCGTGAAAGCAAGATAAACCCAGCTATCAAGTGCGTACAAGGAGAAGAAATAGTTTAACCTAAATTCACCGACATGAGACCTTATACCTGAATCACGGAAAAGAGGACAGAGAGAATGTAACTGTGAAGCACCATGGAGACATAAATGGTGCCCACCATGCTACCAATGAATACCAACGTAAACGGCAGCCTCTGCAACATAAACACCATAAAAAAAAATGTATTAGACAAAATAACAGAGTAAGACAATAATTACATGATTCTTTTCTTGGCATTGAACTCTCAGTAAGACAATATATTCAGTCAAATCAAGAGGATTCGGATATCTTTGTATTGTTATATCAAAGTGAGTGTCTATTATATCATATTGTTATGAATTTTGATGGTAATATATTTAAAACTGGCTTAATTTGTTGACTGTGCTGACATTGAATGAGATTGACAATATAATCTTAAATTCCAAATGACATTAACGGTAAGAATGTGTGAGTAGGATCCTGTAGGAAGTATCAAAACAGCATTATAGAAGGACCATTTCTAGTGCAATTGGGTCAATTTTGTCCCAAGATAAGATGCAGCAGTAGCCACAGCAACATAAGATCACATCAGGATTGCTACTACATATTTTTAAAAGTATCTCTAAAGGGATAAACGAACATTCAAATTTGGCTAAGCTAAGCACAACATGTTCCGGTGACGCTAACATATTTTCTAATTCTTTCTTTAAGGATACAGTTCTCATGAATCATATTCCTTTTAAGTATATTTACATGTTTACATTTGTTGACACTAGCTCTTTATATGAGAAATAAACATCTACTGACAATCATAACATTCACCAGCCCAGGTTACCTTGATGGCAGAAGAATAGGCATCTCCTCGCCATTATCTTAATCAGAACTGAAGCCCATACAGCATCAAATAATGAACAAATCAAGAATCCACAAATGTAATAATAAACAAGAAATCTAAAAAAAGAAAGTGAATTATTATTTCAGAGCCCAAAGGCATAGTTTCAGGTAACAAAAACCTCATAGAGTATGGTGCTTTTCAACTAATTATTAAAGATCCTTCCTCAGTGTATTTCAGCTTAATTTTTGCAAGTAAAACATTGACAACCAAAAAGGAATAGAAACACATAATTAAAGATCTACAAGATCCTAAAAGATATACCTCCATGGAGAACATGTGAGCTAGCTGATTCTTAGGACCTTTAAGAGCAAAGAACGATCCAATGATCAAGGCACATCCAAGAGTAAAACAGAGAGCAAATTTCTGAGGCATCAAGACCATCACTGGAAGGAACATAGTGAAAGCAACAACAATGAAAAACACGCCACTGGCAAGGAGCAACCCAAAGTACATGAGAGACTTCCCAGAAGGCACACTGCTAGTAGCAGACTGGAAAATCCCAGGCAATTCCGTCATGCCTTTCGATACCCTGTTGAACAATGAAGAAAGGCATACTAGTATAGTAACTCAGATCACTAAGCAAGTGTAATCTTAGATATACATGACTATAGGTGAGACTGTTAGACAGAAAGAATGAGGATGAAATAGAAGAAACAAGACAATGCTAAGAAGCCAATTAGGATGTACGAACTGTGAACAAAGTAGAAGATAACAACTGAATGCTAGAAAGCACACAGGAACCATATGTGAATTAAGGACACCGAAATAAACATCAAACTTTTATAAGCATAAATCAACAAAAGAATGTAGAGGCCAAAATTCATTCATGATACTTGTCGCGGCCTAAAGCTACAAATAAGAAGAGGAAGTTGGTCTTGCCTTGTTATGAGGGACAAGAGCAGAGGACATATCATCCACATTAAGACAAGACTTTTACCATAGTATGGGGGAGAAGAACCTAAAATCAAGAATGCTTTGAGAGACATAAAATTATTGAACTTCAATTAGGCTAATAGATTATACTAAATATGAGCAATATTCAAGGCATAATTAAGCAAGAGAGGGACATTTTTGAAAATCTAAAAAGCTAGTTGAAAGGTGGAAAACACTATGCCACTGGTTGCAATTTGAGCTCATACAACTGGAGTCAATCCTTGAAATTCCTTTACATCTGGAAAACGCTCAGAAAGAGGGTTAAACACAATCTATCATTTGCTTGGAAGTGGAGCATCCTAAATCCAACATTTGTTTACAGAGCATAGAATGACGGAACTACATTCAGACCACCTAAAACAAGTTGTTTCTTTCTAAAGCTCTTTGTTCAATCATGCTTTCATGTCATTCAAGTTAATTCTTATAGAACCGCACAATAAAACCTCTGTCGGCTTTGTCCTTGTTCATGCTCCAACTTTAAGTAAACATGTGATTCTATCAACCATCGATCAACACGACAAATTGAAATATGTGAATTGACCTAACAAATCAAGTCCAAAACTATATCTAGTCTTCATATAATTTTAGGAACTAATCACCAAGAGAAACAAACTAATGAAAACCAGAAGGACCAGTTTCTGATTCCTCTACCTCTATTTAATATTCCTATTCTCTAAGTTAAGACCGAAACTGTCAGATCCAATATCACTTTTCCTTCAGATCCAGATGTTAACTGCACGTCAATCAAAAAATAGAGCCGCCACCAAAATCTTAGTCAAGCAGCGACTATAACGCAGTCCTCTTGCTTCCTACACTGAGAATTTTCTACGATTATTCTCTTACCATCAGTGGTAGACAAACTCCAAGGTTTAAACAGCAGTAAACAAACAATCACACCAAAAAGGAATGATCCATTTATAGGAATCCTCTTCTTGAAGCCCGTTGAATCCACCCATGGAAAATATATAACACAGAATCGAAAAGGTGAAGAGAAAGATCAACCAGTGGATTGACCCTTACACATTGAAGGTTCCGGTGACCTTGTCGTTGGCGGACTGGACGGCGGACTCGATATCGAACCCGAAGGCGGACGCCCCGCCCTCCTCCGTCGATCTGGAAGCAGCGTAGGAGTTCCAATCAGCGAGGAGGGACGAAGAGGAGGGTTTCTGCTGCTCTCCTCCACCGCCGCCGCTCGGTCCCCCGGTGAACCAAGCCTGCGCCGTCCGCATCGTGTATTTGGTCGGATCGGAATGTGTAGCGAGATCGAGAAAACAGGCGGAGATAGGCGAGGAGGAAGAGGCTAGGGTTTCTCGATGGACAGATCTTTCGCTTACTCCGTCGGAAAGAGAGGAGCACAGTAGCAATAGATATCAACAACCGGGAGAGGAGTTGAGGAAACGTTTTCTCTCGCGATCGTCATAGAAAACACTTCAATTTTGGATATTTTCTCAAAAGTACCATTTATTTTGCTTTTTCTAAAAAATATCTTTAATTTTTAAAAAAATCAAAAATATTCTTTAAAAGTTTTCTGTCAAATTTTTTAATCTATTTTTTTATTATTATCAATTTTCAATTATTATAGTCTTTTCATTTATCTTATTTATAGTATTTATAGTAATATATATAATATTTTTATTTATATCTTAAAAATATATTATTAATATTATTAAAAATAAGCATCCTATCCAATTGTCATTGCTCATATTTTATTATAATATCATATATTTATATCTATAGTTAATTTGATTAAGACTACGAATCTATTTAAATCATTTATAATATTTTTAAATAGGCTTTATAGTATTTTTATTGTGGTGACTAAAACATTGTAACAGACTAAAATTTTTTTAAGAAATTGTTTAAATATTTTTTAAATAAAAGGTATTGTTTGAGAAAAAGATAAAATCAGGGTATTGGTTTAGAAATATTAAAAATATAAGTATTTTCTAGGAAAATTAATTTTTTTTCTTTCTTGTTTTTGTTTGGATGATTTTTTCTAGAAAATACTCTATATTTTTCGAACAATACTCATTTATTTTTTTAAATTTGTATTCATAATTTTATAAATATCTTAAATATTCTTCAAAAAAAATTTGCCAAAATTTTCAGGTACATTTTTTTTTATCAATTTTAGATTGTTAAAACTCGCGTACAATGTTTTTCAATAATGTTTACAGCATTTTTTTATTGAAGTATTAAAAACATTAAAAATGCTATTGAAAGACGCCATAAATGATATTATATTATTTCTCTCTGTTTATCGTTGCTCGTATATCGTTACGATATTATATTTTTATATTTTTAATTGATTCGATTAAGGTTAAGATTTTATTTGAATTATTTATGGTATTTTTAAAAATATTTTATAGTATTTTTATTATGATGGTCAAAATATTGTAACTAGCTAATTTTTTATTTTTGTCTATGCGATATTCTCGCTAAACTATTGTAAATACATATTTGAATCGAAGTATATGATATATCAAAATTTTTTTCTAGTATATTTTAATTTTATTTGACTCATTTATAATATTTTCAAGTAAACTTTATAGTATTTTTGTTGCGACGGCCAAAACACTATAACATATGAAGAAAAAAAATTTAAAAATAGTTTGAGTATTTTTTAAATTATGAGAACTTTCTGAAAAATAAAAATAAAAGTATCGGTTAAAAATATGTAAAATGTAAATATTTTATTTGAAAATCGTCCTGTATTTCATTTTTATTTTCTTTGTATTTTTCGGCTCACCCCCATACTAGAAACTAGTATGAGAAAAGGATACAAACTATACTAACATGAGATAATTTGATACATTTAATTACCAAGCGATGATCACTAACAGAAGAAAGAAGAAAACCCCACTGTTCACAAAGCAATCGAAATCAGCACTGCATTAATGACAAATTAGACAGTAATTATTGAGACTCAGGAATAACTTGTTCCATGACTAATAAATACATGGATCAGAACAATCGAAACAAATGACGCCATTATTGTAGAACAAACATTTTAGTGGTAAGATCATTACAACAAATTTGTATGTATGTCATGTTCTTACTTGGGATTTTAATTAGGACTGTTTGAAGTAACTTAGAACCGAGAAAACAGTCTGGATTATGGTGAGAAGGAAGAGGAGAATAGCAGCGAAAACAGAGATGATCGCCCATGGACTGGTCAAGTAGTTGTGGTTCAGCGACGCCCAACGGCGGTTGCATTTGTTGTCGCAGTGCTTCGTCACGGCCTGCCCGAGGTCCGAGAGATAGCACCCCTGCAAGTCCATGATGACCTCCTTGCCGAGCTTGTTGAAGACATTGGCGACGTCTTCGTCGTTGCCCAGGCCGTTCTCGATGATCTTGTGCTGTCGGAGTAGCGCCACGTCCATGGGCGTGTCGATGATGCGGTCCATGAACCAGGCGTACGTGGTGACGTGGATGCCCGCCCGGGGGTAGCACTGCTCCAACGCGATGAGGTTCCGGAGGAGGGAGTTGGTCTCGTCGTCCACCTTCACCTGCGGTATCTCCATCTTGTTCCCGCGGAAACTGATGTCCAGGAAGCTCGTGGCCTCCTTCTTCACGAACTTTACCCTGGCCTCCCGGAGCTCTCTGGCGCACGGCATCGCGGTGTGTGAGGGCTGGCTATCCTTTCCACTCTTCTTTGCGATCATGCGCTTGCTGGAAAGACAGCCGATCCAAGACTGCTGATGGGAGGTGGACTCGCCGCCGCCATCTGATCCGCTATTCGTCGGGACAATGCAGGTGTGGAAAAGATGAAGAAGGTGGGGAGAACTCTTGATGTTTTCGTCGGTGATTTTCCGCTTGTTATTGGTCAGAGGAAAATTCCGGAAGAAGTAGTCCAGGGGTTCCTTCAGGGAAGCACATGGGGAAGCCAGCTCCAGCAACCTCCGAAGGACGACGAGAGGAAGCTGGTTTTCGAGCATCATCACGTCATGTGCTAGTAATGGCAGAGCCCACCGCCATGCACTTATCATCGGATCCTGTTCGAACGTCGAACTTGCCTCTGGCCACTTCGGACCCATTCGCATCTCCGCTTGCTGCTTCTCCTCCATCTGTACGAGCAACAACTCGACCACGAAGCAGCAGTCGAGCAGCATCATCTCCACGAATTTGCCGGGATCCATGCCCGGTCTCTCCGAGTACGCAGTGCGTGCTGCGGGCGCCAACATCTCGACCTCCTCGAGGTAGTCACACAAGTGTTTGTTGGGGTTCCGGTTCAGGAACTTCTTGAAGTAGCGCCATTTGAGGCCGTCCCAGGCTCCCAGGCGTTCGTTGTCAGCGTGGTAGGGGCCGAGGGAGACGATCTTTGGCTCGTACGCCGAGCTATCGATCGCTCGAATGTTGTGTGGGACTCTGAAGATCGTCGCCTGCTCGGCGTGCCGGTCTTCCAACGATGTGGCTTCCAACTTCTTCCACAAGGAGCTCACCGCCGCCTCGTCCACGCGTATCACCACCTGCATTTCCGCAGCACTCATCTCCCTCATGGCTCGATGGCACGGCATGAAATCCGATGGTCAGATTTCTGGGAAACAATCAAACTTTTATTCGATGTATAGAACAAAGAAATCAATTGATCTTCCTAATTTGTCCTCGTGATCCACCCAGCTATGGTGCATGCATCGACAGTCTACAAGAACAAACTAATGCTGGGAGAAACCAATGGATGTGAAACCTTTTACCTCGTTGTAGTACTGCTACGCGTAGGGTCAGATTTCTTCAAGCTAGGAGAGAAATAAGAACGAGAATGGGAAAGGCAAAACCAGCAGAGGAAGAAGAATAGATTAATGGTGGGAAGAGCAGGGTCAAGCGCTTATATAGATCTAAAAAGTCCACTGGTGGACCGAGATGCCGCTTGACATTGTTCTTTGCTTGTGCTTTTCGTTTTTCTTTATTTTATGCTTGTTTGGACAGGAGAAGGAACGTCTGTACACGTCACCTGTAAGGAGAAAGGCACAGATGGGCTCTGTTCCCACATGTGTTATGATCGATTATAGCAATTAACTCCATCGATCAAGGAAACACCCATGATGATTGATATTCATAAAATATAAAAAAGAATGAAGAAGAAATATACTTTCTCTGAATATTCATTAAAAAGCTCTGTCCATTACTGAATTCTCCGAAGATAGATTCGCAAAACATTCAAATGAAAAGTCCACTAAGTTTTGACAAAGCGTTACTCTCTAATCATCGCTCGATCCCACACGTCAATGATGATGATCAGCATGAGACAAATTTCCAGATTGGGAAACTACAAAGAAACCGGGCCCACGTCCAGTCCCGGAATAAATATTCGGCCGTACGTATCTCATCCGACGACGTAGAATGGTCGAAACGTGACGCCGGACGGCCCTTCGGAGGTGGGCCCCTTTTTCCCGACGGAAAGGTTCTGATTTGATGCGGGCCGCCTTCCACGGCCGAACCGACAAAGCGAAATCAGCGGATGCTCCCTCCGGGGCCCGCAGTTGCGAGCGAATGAGAAGTCGTGGTTCCCTCTTCGGTCCCTTCGCCGAGCCAATGATGAACGACACAAAGGCACTCGGTGAAATGGTGTCTCATTCGAGGGGTAGCCGTGTCATTCGACGTCTCGCTTGTTGTCTTGTGTTGGATAACGTGGCCACGTGGTTTAAATTCTCGACGCAAAGTTGCTATTATGAGCGGCAAGTTAGGAGTCGACTTGGACGTAAACACTCACGTGCAACTGCGTTAATTTACCATTTAGACCCACCTAACCGTGGGCTATGAGTGGACCGATTCGTGCTCGATGAGGGCCTTAAAAGAGCACAATGTCTGCCTTGACGGTTAAGACATCAACGTGTGATAGAATCCATGTCTTATTGTATGGTCCCAACACATGGACGAAAGCCCAAGTCCAAGACGAAACTATAGAGGGGTATTACGGTCATTAGATACATAGCCTGGAAAAAGTCGTCACGGCACGCGACATGGCCTGCTTCGATGTTACGTCGGTCCGCAGGGACCCGCCACTTACACCCTGCCTCCCCTTTTTACCCAAACGCCCCCAAAAGCGCAAGAACAATAATGAATACAATAAATGAATGAATCAAGAGACATACACTTTGAGTCGCCTTTTCGCAGGAGGGGAAGTCTTTCACCACCCATATCTCTGTACTCGTTCGGTTACTTCCCTTCTCACTGGAGATATATTTGTGGGTCCGCGCCTTCGTCCATCTCTTCTTCGAACAACATGTCGGCTAGGAAACTGGGTAGTCGTGGCAGCGAGTAGAAAAAGTATCTCTTTACACGGGAACCCGTGGGCCCCGCCTCCGCTCATCTCCTCATCCTTTGCTTCTCCACCTTGCTTTTTCTTCTCTCCTATCTGTCTATCTTCGATTGCTCCCGTGAGGGAATTCGATTTCGCATCACTCGTCTTCCGCTAGGGTTTGTAGTCCCTCCGTTTTTTGCGTGCCAAACCAAGAGGGAAAAAGAGGAAGTTTGGCTTCCTTTGATGAGATATCCATGAATCGGTAACTACGTTTGTTTTCTTTTGGAGAAATCCTGCTGTTACTCGTTAGATCTTGCATCCTGTTTAGTCATGTCAGTAACTGGATTCTTCGCTCTTTTTCCTTGGTTTCTGATGTGGATATCCTGCAACCTGTGTGAGTACCGATTTCGAATCGAGCGACGGATAGTTTATCCTTGGTCTCGTCGTTTCCGAGAAAAAATATTTTTCTTAGATTTGTTGGAAGCCGAATTGGTTAAAGATAGTATCTTTTTAGGATTCTTAGCTTCCCAAAAGTTGCTTTGATAAGTGTAGATTCTTCTCGCGAGGCAGAGCGGCTGATTCTGGTGATGAAAAAGGTTTCGTAAGATACTTTTAAAATATCGGTTGTCAAGACTTATGATGCTGCCGAAGTTGAATTGCTCGTCGGGGTCTGTTGCCTTTTCCGGTATATGTTTTTAGATGTTAGCTACAGGAGATTTTCTGCAATTGGCAGCTTCCAAGATCCGAAGTAGTTATTTTTAGAACATTCCCTCTTGTGAATTTTATAACTAAGGTTGTCAGGTTGAGTGAATCCATATATTTGTGAGATTATTAAGTGGAAATCTTCTGGAAGTACTATCAAAATGCTGATTAATATACATAAGCAATTGTGAGAGTTTGGGTATCGACCTTGTTGTTATCATGATTAAATAACTCTGGTTGACAGGTCTACTCATTTATAATAAAATCTACTGCTACTTGTGATTTACTTTATCTTCGCGACTTATGTTTTTGTGGTTTTACTAAATTTGATAAAATGCATTGCATTTGAAACTTGACCAAGTTTAAGCTTTTAATGTCCAGGAAAGTGGTTAGATTAGATTTTAAGGTCTTTTGGCACATATGCTGACATTGGCTGAATTTTTCCAGAGTATGCTGACAACTTAGACGGTGAGGACATTTCTTGTAAAACCACAAGAACAGAAGCAGCATTTGATTTTGTTTTTTATCTTCTGAGAGTGAGGAAGCATGAGTCACCTTTGTGATTTCTGTGGGGAGCAAAGATCTATCGTCTACTGCAGATCTGATGCTGCTTCTTTGTGCTTGTCATGTGACCGCAATGTTCATTCTGCAAATGCACTTTCTCAGCGTCACTCCCGCACTCTTTTGTGTGACAGATGCAGCGCACAACCTGCTGTTATAAGGTGCACTGAAGAAAGTGTTTCACTTTGCCAAAATTGTGATTGGAATGGGCATGGTGGGTCAGCAGTTTCTTCAGGGCATAAAAGAGAGACAATAAACTGCTACATAGGCTGCCCGTCGGCAGCAGAGTTTTCAAGAATTTGGTCATTTTTTCAGGAGCTTCCTCAGATAGCTGAGTCCAATTGTGAACAGGGCTTAGGTTTGATGACCATCAATGAGAGCAGTGTTAGTAATTGTTGGGCTTCTCCAGAAAACAGTACTTTGGACGTATCTGGTGGGGGCAAAATGGAGGAACTGGGAGCTGTCGATAAGTCCAGTGCCTTGATTGGATCATCTTCAGGGTCTGCAATGTGTCCTATGCCCTGTACTGCTGATCTGACAGCTGGTGCAGTGGATTTAACTACACCTAAGGTGCATTTAAGTTTTGAATTCACTTTATTTGGCTCTAAATTTTAGAACCCATTGATGTTTGCTGTCTTTTAAACAAAATCTTTTGTACTATATACAATTACCAAATGCAACTCTACTATTCAAGTTACTTTTTTGCCTAACAAACTTGATACTAACAATTGACTACCATTTTATGTTCCAGCATCTTTTGTTGACAGCAAGGATGTGTAGTTACTTTCATCATTGACTAGTCTGTAGGGTATGTTAATATGTGTAGGTGTACCCTTCCTCCATTCCTCTGGAGCCATAAATTGCAGTCTACCAGAGTATCAGGTCTTATGACACTTTCACATAGTGAGCACCTCTTTTGTTCTGCTTTTACACCCCTCTTCTCTCTTCCCTCTCTCTCTCTCTCTCTCTCTCTCTCTCTCTCTCTCTCTATATATATATATATATATATATATGGGTCACTGGTACATGGATTATGCTTGGATTCTCTTAAATGTTTAGCTTAATCTTGAGAATATGGTTCAATGTTTGGATGCTCTTAAGATTATGGTTCTTAATCTTGAGAATTATGTTTGGATGCTCTTCAATGTTTAGCTTCTTTCACACATTTCAATTGGCAATAGTTTATCGACTCGTTTGCAGCTATCTTGTCCTGGGACCAAAGATTTTGAATTCTGCAAAGATGATATTTACGAAGATCTCAATATGGATGATGTTGATTTGACATTTCAAAATTATGAAGAACTTTTTGGTGTATCTCATAACGAAACAGGCCATCTTTTTGATGATGATGAAATAGATATTTTTTTTGATACAAGGGCAACATCTGCTGGCAATTCCAACAGCCAGGGTGAACTTGTTGGAGAGGTACAACTTGTGGCTTTCTCTTATTTTTGCAATTTTGGTTCTTTTTTTTTCTTTTTTTGTATCAGCAACCACCAGTTTTATTGTTTTTTTTTCCCCTTCTATAAAATCAAACACTAGTTCACTATATTCATTTCTTCTCTGTCAGCTCCATTAGATGCAAGCTTAGATGTATGCATTACCTAATGTGTGTTCCAGTTCATTTTGTTATGATGCATAGAGTACTTCCAGCACCATTTACTATCTCCAATTTTTTGTCAAGTAGGGGAAAAGGATGGTTTCATAAAGATTCTTCCATTCCTTGGGGTAATGATTTTCTGTAGTTATTATGACTTGTAAAGGTGTTGGATTTTAAGTGCTCATTTGTAGGGCAACAATGCTCTCAACTAGTTGCGAGTTTGCAAGAAACCTGAATTGCTTGTCAGAGATAAAAGTTAAAGTGGATGAACCATAAACAGAAAAACTTGTTAATATCCTGATATTTGAAAATTCAAATTGAAATCTGACGTGTCATACTGCATCTGAATATGCTCGATATAATTCATTGGAGATTTCATTTCGTAATAGATTAACTCATTCAGGTCTTGTTGCTAACTGTCAAAGGAATACTGTTATGCTATGTCTGCTCTGCTTGCTTCCGCCAATTCCAAATTTTAGTTTGGTTATTGTGTCTCACAAGCTGATATATCTCGCAAGCTAACACTTGGGAGAGCAGAAATGCTTTGCCATCATATTTCTTAGTGAGGCCTGCAAATTCAAAGAGTCATCACCTTTCTTGTGTATTCATGAGAAAATGATTTTGTGAAGCACCGGATGAATCTCATGTTGAATTTCCGGAGAGACAGATGAGTGTTATTTTGTGCATAGCTACTACCTTTATGTATGAAAAGGTTGATATATTCATGACCATAAGCAGCATCGTATGACAGACTGACTAGATGCTTCTTTGGATGACATGGTCTAAGTTTGATTTGGATGATACTACTTAAACATTTCTGCTCTCCTAATCATTGGTTAAAGCTGGCGTTGCCGATCTGTAGCAGCTTATGTAATGATCTTACTTGCCAATTTGTAACAACTTATGTAATGATCTTAAGTTATCTCAATCAAGGTTCGCCATACCGTACCGGCGATTCGACTCGGGCTCGGCACGGTACGGTATCAGTGTACCGAGCAGTACACCAGGGTGTACCAAATGATTTTATTTTTTTTCATACTGCACTACTGTAGTAGTGCTACAGTATTATACTGTAGCACTGTAGCGGTACCGGATGGTCCGCGTACCAGTATGCCGTCGGATCGGTACATACTGCCCGTACCGGTCGATATTATTCAGTACTGCATACCTTGATCTCGACAACAAGCTGTTACCCTAAGCTGTTGTCAGCAAGCTGCAGTTTACTCGCCCATGTGAATTTTCCAAGCTAAAGAGCACAGTGCACAGTCAAGCAGCTTGTTAATTGCATGTCTATTCATATGTCATCACAACATGCATATTTAAGATGATCAATCATTCACTTCTACTGTCTCAACTGTCCTTAAAATCTTTCTCAGGCATCATCTGCGGGGCAGGTTAAGCCTATGCAGGCAATGTTTAGCAATGCAGTCTCTGCTGATTCTGTGATGTCAAAACCAGTAAAAAATGCAGATTCAAGTCAGTTTTTTCCAGCACGTCAAGCTTGCTTTAGTCTATCCCTTTCCTTTTCTGGCTTGACTGGTGAAAGCAGTGCCGGGGACTATCAAGATTGTGGTGTTTCATCAGTGCTTCTTATGGGTGCTCCTCCAGTGTTCGGAGCTGGACTTGAAAATTCCTCATTACCTAGAGGTAGCAGGGTTAGTGCTGTGATGCGTTACAAAGAAAAAAAGAAAGCACGCAAGTAAGTCTGAACTCTGACAATCTCAAATTGGATGTGCTATAATCTTCTGTGTTAATCTCTGAAAAAAATCACTGAGCACAATGTTCGTTAACTTCTGGATGGCTGGACTTGACATATATAGTGTGGAATTTCAGTATTTGGAAGCTGCATCCTGCTCTAGAAGCCACATTTTACTTTTGGAACTTTTCACTTCCAGAATCCCTGATTTCTTTTAGAGGAAAGTTTCTCATAAAAATTAATAACAGACATCGAATTAGTTTATGCATGTGTAAACTTATGTGGCACTTAGCTTTAGCTTATAGTGCTGTTAGTTCCACAATGAAGCATGTATTTGCTTGTTTATCTTGTATGCAACTAAATGTGTGTTTAAACCATTGTCGATCACCCTTTTTAACCTCTGAAATAAATTAATAGGATGTAAATGGACATTGTTGGCCAACTACAGGTGAGAATATGGCAGTTGATCGCATACGAGAATTATTTGTGATGTTCTTATATCTCTGATCTCTGTCAACCCCCTTGAGGTTTACAGTTTTGGATATCGAATATAGTGATGAGAAAGAGTGTCTGAGTGGGATGAAAAAGAACAACGATAAAGAGCTTCTGAGTCAGATGTGAAAACAGTCATTCTCGATTTTTTTTTTTTTTTTGTTCTTGTTCTTATATATTGGTTAAATAGAAAATCAGAAAATCAATCACCTACCAGAGAAATGGTAGTGAGGCCAAAGATGCTTCTTGAGTTTGAAGTCAATTGTTAGGAATGATATTATAAAATAGGTGTGCAATATGAAATTAGACAACATACACAGAGCTTTTGTTACAAACTTGACTCACTTGGAATTCTATTGATCTGTAGATCAGTAACACAAGCTATTTAGTCATGAATGTATGACAGTATGATAACTAACTAGATGTATTCTTAACATAAAAAATAATTATTGTATCTTGATGAAAATAATAAAGCTGTTTGTGAATGATGTCATGTTTTACAGACAATGGATCTAATTCAATTATAATTTTATTACAGATAGTTGTTATGGAGTCATTTGTGATTGCTCAATTAAAATATTCCATGGATATGTTCGACAAATTCTCAGAAACTTCTTTCTTGTAGTTTGAACAGGTTTGAGAAAAAAATAAGGTATGCTTCTCGCAAGGCTATGGCTGATGTAAGAAAGCGGGTGAAGGGCCGGTTTGTCAAGGCTGGTGAAGCTTATGACTATGACCCACTTGCACAGACAAGAAGCTGTTGAGAGCAAAACATTATCATAGTATAATGTAAACATCAGTTGATAAATACTTGGGGAAAATGAAGACCGACATAGGTCATCCTTCCCTTGCCATTAGTATGTTTTTCAGCCTATTTAAAGAAGTTAAAAGGGAGGAACAAGAAAGGCAGCATGATTGATGGCTGAAAATATGAGTTGCAAGTGCTCAGTCCATGTTAATTTGCCAAGGAACATTCTGGCATTATGAGTTCTTGATCCCCACATGGGCCAACATCCTGATCCTGTAAATGTCAGTTTTCATTTTGTTCAATAATGAATGGGATTGTATATATTCTATGATTGGGAAAAGAAGGCCAGCACATACTGGTTTATTCTGCCTTGAATGACCTGGTATCCATGCTCTTCCAGATCCTGATCCTGATCCTGTAAACATTTTTTTCTGACTCCGTCCGAGGTCAGTTACCCTCCTATGGCATGCGACAGTGTCCCCCGGGGTTAGGTTTCTGATTCGGACATTGGCTCCATTCGCTATATCTCGTCATGTTATATTTTGTATAGTGTGTTGTAACCGAAAAATAGCAATTTGTATCCATTCAAATGCAAAAGAAAATTTTATATGTATCAAGATTGTCGGAGAATCTTTATCTTTAGTTTCTTTTTATGTCATCGACAGTATAAACACAATAAACTTTGCACGTTGCTCATGTGTGTTTAAAGCAATTGCTGCAGCTGCCAAAGATTGGTTGTGCATCTTAAACACCTGAAGATGTGTTATGGTTTTCTTTGTCATGCTGTTGGTGATAGTTGTCTTCCAATATTGTCATCTTCAAATTTATTAGTGCCAGATAGAGAACATATCTGTGACTGCAAAGAGTTGAGCAACAAGCTCGACTCAAAGCATATGTGTGCAGCTTAGATTACTTCAGCTTTACCAATCTCAAGCTTCGGGGTCCATTCATCTGCTCATATACCAGCTTGGAAAAGATGTTTGTGTGCCAATTCACCTTGCTCTCATCACCACAGAGAAAAAAATCCGACATTGACTGTGATGTTGCAGTATTAGTTGTGGTGAAAGAATAGCAGTACATTTTGGATCACAGACCCGAATCATTCAGCTGGGTGTTTGTCATGGAAAATGTTCATCGCGTTTGACGTGATTTGGTCCTTTTGTGTGAAAGTTGGATGAGGTATCTATACAAAAAATATCAAGTTAGTCATATGGTTCAGTCCCATGTCGAAGAACATCATTTCATATGGTAAAACATCGTTCAAACATTTCATGTCGAAGAACACAGCATTCCAAACTAATGGCCAAAAGAAAGTTTGGTTGTTGCCGACGAATGATGCAGCGCAAACAGAGCAAACTCCCCTCTCAAATGAAGCAGAACGCATGCACTCTTTAATGTTCTACCATGGATCCTATGAACCCTAAACCCCATAAAGGGTAACTGTTAACCTTCAAAGGTGCTGCCTTTATTCCTTCCCACCGACTGCCAACAGCTGCCGACAGTTGAGGTGGCTCTTGACAGAGCCATGTGGGTGGAAATCCTTCTCCTCTGCAATTTATGGATCTCACATAATGCCAGTTTCTATGATCCAAAATCTCTTTATGAAGATGTTGATGCCAATGACGGAGAATACTTTCTATCGTTTCTGCCATGAAGATTCTTTATGTTTACAGCATGTCACCCTTAGTCATGCATTGCAAAGTTGAACCACAGAGAAATCTGGGAGGATCACTGAGGACAAAAATGCTATTCTGTCTCTTTTTCCTGCATGTCCAAATGCAGATTGATAATAATATTTATGGATCTCAAGATGAATGCAGGATGGGATATGAAGTCTATGCACTTGCAATTTTGTTGCATTATATTGCATGGTAAATGAAGTCTATGCACAGGAGATGTTAAATGAGCCTTATGTAGGTGAGACATCATAGTCTTGGAAATATAGCATTGGATGCTCAATTCAAGTTTAAGCCTTCTCAAGCATATCTTTAGCATTATCATCTTTTACTATAGTCATCTTGGTGTGTAATAATTGATCAATTGAGAGAACTTAGACCAATATGAGATTCCTTTGTCTCTACACAGCATTTGGAACATTTAACTGTATCTTAAGGATGTAAATATTGTACTAATAGAGTATATTATGAGCAATGCTCCATCTGGCTGGCAACTTAGGTCATGATTCAAGTCACCAAAGGTGGATGCCACCCACATCCTAAAGAGACCCAACACCCAAAATACTAACATTAAATGAGAAGGGAAGATTAAAGTCACACTCATGAAAGCTACATTTAACTTACTTTTTCTCATACCTCTCTCTCTCTCTCTCTCTTTATAATTCCAATACATGTCACAATGAACCATTACAAGCCATTTGGAATAATCAGACAACATGATTTTATACATTAAACATAAGCTTACTCTATCATCATCCAAGTTGATAAATGAAGTCACACAAAGTGCAATCTCCACCAGCCCACTGACCTACAATTGATTCTCTCCATGCTTCCAGCTTACTCATCACACACAAGTAGCAGCCTCCACCAAACCTCCCTTTTCTGTCACTTAATTCCTCTCTTTTCTCTATAAGTTTAAATTATACATATTCATTATAGATTTTTTTTTTTGTTTCTGATATTCTCAGTAAAAATCAATTTTTTTTATCATTGATATGTGTTAAAAATTGAAGGAAATAGATATGTAAATTATTTACCTTCAGAAGGATGGATATGTTATTTGCAATGCAACAAGCCAATAGGGAAGCAATCACCGCCCTCCATCTACTGCAGCGCGAGAGAAGCCTTAGATCTCAACCGTCCATTCGAGGAAATGAGGCCCCACTTGCGCCTAAAACTTGGGCACAGTCGTGCGACAGGGAACACCGACTCCACTTTTCCTTCGCCTCCAACCGTCTCCTATGCTTTCGTCGGCTCGATCAAATCCGGTGGGGGCTCCGAAAAGATCCGGTCTTTCTCACCTGCCGCTACTCTTCCGGGGTTAATCTGCGGTTTTGTTGCCGAAAGATGAGATCTTCCGGGCTGGCCTGATGCGTTCTTGGCCTGCGTCGGAATGGGAGTGTGGGAATCCATTTTGGGGAAGGATGGGAGGAGGTTCGTCAAGCGCAAGGACAGTGATGCCGGGGAGCACGGTATGTGTCTCTTCTTTAATCGATGGCGACAACCATAATGGCGCGATTTCTGAATTATGGGGAGTAATTCATGATGAGGAAACACGAATCTTTACCTAAAATTTTCTTTCCCTTCAAATGAGTGGAACTGGTTTCATGTTTCATTCGATTTGTTCGTTTTTGTGTCGCTCGGGACATGATTTTTATGCCCCCGAGAATGGAAGAATCATCCTTTGTATGGGCATTTTGGATTTTCGAGCTTTAGGGGTTTCTTTCTTTGTCATTGGCTTTTCTTGTTTTAGAGGATGCTCTCTTATCGAGGAAACTGATATATGGGTTTGATCTGAGCCTTAAACTTCTCATCTTAATCCTTTTGCTTCCCTCTTCTCGGCGATTGCCTTCGTATCATTCCTTGCTTTAACTTTTTGTTCTCAAGTTTCTAACAATGCAGTTCCCTCGAGAGAGCTACTAATATTGTAATGTGGACCTTGATGCCACTGCTATCTCTTTCTCGTTTTACAGATTGATGCATCATTCCTAATCCCGATTGCTTTTCCCCAATGTTGGTCTTTAGATACTGTACCTATCTTTTGGTCCCTATCAGATTTTCTTCCCGAAGTCATCTTTACCTTCTTTTAGTTCTTGCAAAATTACATCTGCTTAGTCAAACGACTGCTGCTTTTCTTGTCCTGCCTCAGGTCGTCTGTGTGCTTTCTATGTTAGACTTGGTAGTGACTGGTGCAAAGATTGGACTTTATCTTAAACAAACCGTCTGAGATTGGATTCCTTGAAGCTTCATTCTTTAGATCATGCTTGATTTTTGTTGCTACATTATACCATCTAGCAGTCACAAATAATACAAATGAGATATTCTCATGTGCCACTATAGATGCATCACAAGTAGAAGAAATTGGAAAACATCGAGAAGAAATTCCCTTTTTTTCTCTCTCTGTGGCAACATCACTGTGATTTATGCTGCTACTTTCCCCACCTTTGCAACAATGTTGAACCTTTTCTCCTATTTATCTACCTAAAAGCAAACGGAACATTTCCTTTTCATAAAGATGGTATTTGTCTATGATATGATAGTAGTGAAAGAGGAATCAGATAGGCTAAATGGATTGTTGGTTTTACTCCTATCTCACTTCTGTGGCTGCCAGGTCGAGCACTGGAGGAGCTGCGAAGTTCCATGTACAGTGATTTCCATACTTCAGAAGGAGCAAAACGTCAGCAGCAGAGGTTATGTGGTCCATTTGTGGCAATGACCTTTAATTTCATTGTTGCTGTTGGAATAATCATGGCTAACAAAGTGGTGTGTTTCTCATGTCTCCTACACCAATTAAGTCGGTGCTTGCTATATTTTGAGAATTCTAGTCCTATATGCAAAGTGTTCCGTTGAATTTTACTTCTTTTTTTTTCATTGTGTAAGAAAGAAAAAGCCTTACTGCTTGTTTTACAGGTGATGGGCAAAGTTGGGTTCAATTTCCCTGTTGCCCTTTCTCTGATCCATTATGTAACTTCTTGGTTTCTCATGGCCATCTTCAAAGCGCTTTCTCTACTGCCTGCTGCACCTCCTTCTAAAGCCACACCATTTTCTTCTTTATTTGTCTTGGGCGTAGTGATGGCTCTTGCCACTGGACTAGCCAATGTCAGCTTACAACATAACAGGTGAGACTTATGCTAGTACTGATGAACCTCCATCTTGTTCTAATGCTTTGAATGAATTGTTGCCTTTTCTTAATCTGGTTTTTATCACAGTGTGGGTTTCTATCAGATGGCTAAGATAGCTGTGACTCCGACAATCGTTCTAGCTGAGTTTATGCTTTTCAGCAAGAAGGTCTCTCTTCAAAAGGTAAAATTTTTTCTCTCTCTATGTATCATCTCCTTTATTTTGAATTTTGTTTCCCATGATGAATTGAGCAAAATATTTTATTTGGAAATGATGGGCATCTTATAGAAGTCTGGTTCATTTTCCATATATAGCTTCCCAGAGTCACCTCTTTTATGTCTATACCCTTGCAAAGTTAAATTTTGCATGAGCATGCAGCAAAACCTTAACAGAAAAAAATCTAGTGATTATACATCCGAGAGTCCAAAATGCCACATGCTTGTTCTGACATAGGTAATTGCAAAACAAGGGACTTGTGTCAGTGTTCAAGAAAACTACAGAGGCTCAGATATTTGGTTATAGTGAAAAAGATGATTATGTGGATATGCATGTAACTTATGAATTTTCTGGGGAATGCACCTAAACATACAGCTGGGAACAGAAAGGAAGGCTTTATATATTCATGGAACCATTTTATTTGAATCTTACTTAGGTTTAGCTATCAGTTTTTCTATCTTCAAAAGAAAAGCCTCTGTCAGTTTTTTCCTATATTCTTAATCCTTGGGCAATGCAGGTCATCACGCTAGGTATCGTTTCAGTCGGTGTGGCTGTTGCTACTGTCACTGATCTAGAATTCAATTTTTTTGGTGCTTGTGTTGCATTGGCATGGATTGTGCCTAGTGCCGTAAATAAAATTTTATGGTCAAATATGCAACAAACAGGCAACTGGACTGCTCTTGCGTAAGTGCTGTAACCAAATCTTCCAAGCTTATCATCTTGTCTAAAAGTTCTTCTAAGTCAGTCGATATTTGACCAGGTTGATGTGGAAAACAAGCCCAATTACCATATTCTTCTTCATGGTTTTGATGCCTTTGTTAGACCCACCGGGTGTGTTATCCTTTGGTTGGAACTGGAACAATGTAGCTGCCATCATAATATCAGCTTTATTTGGATTTCTGCTTCAATGGTCAGGGGCACTGGCACTTGGGTGAGTCTTCAGGCACCTTTAAGATTTTTCTTTCAGCGAGAAAAGTTCACTCTGATAATGGTTTGGAGATTCTCATGTAAATCTGTTTTTCTATGTTTTAGTTCTAAAAAATGTTTATCTTTGCTGGTTGTCAATAATTATAAGGTTCATGTGGATGCACTTTCAATAGGGATATCAAGTAGTAATATTTGATATCTTCACTGCACCTACACAACTAACTTATTGTAATATTCACATACCTGAAATGCTCCATTTTGGAACTCCACAATATTTTGTGTATCTCAGACTTCACCTGTAGACATGCTTATTTTTTTCAAACTTATTTCACATTATTGTTTAAATTTGGCTTTGTTAGAATGTAGTTCATATTAGTGAAGGTAGGCCATCAGCAATAGAAAGCTTAGGTGAAGTCACAAGTAAAAAGCTACAGGCTAACCTGCATCTAATATTTCCACAATTTACTTGATTGTTTTTCTATCATTAAATAGAAAAATATATACCATTTAAAGATAACCGATAGATGGTTTTACTTGTTTGGGTTGCCAAGCAAATGCTTAAATGGTTTGTGCAGTGAAAGTGGTCACAGGTACCTCATTTTGACTCCCTCAGATGTTTCTGCATGTTGTTTCATTATATTTTCTTATTTCTTTTCTAGTTTTGTTTCCATCATATAACTGATAATGATATTTGTATTATATTTGGTTGTTACATGATCATATCGAAATGCCATTGTGTTACTGCAATAGCAAAAGGTCTTACGTTTTCTGATGTTGTTCAAAACATGTGTACTACACAGTGCAACATCTGCAACTTCTCATGTTGTTCTGGGGCAGTTCAAAACATGTGTTATTATGCTTGGTGGATACATTTTTTTCAAATCTGACCCAGGAATGGTCAGTTTGTTCGGAGCTGTTGTTGCTTTGTGCGGAATGTCATTCTATACTTACCTTAATTTGCGGGACTCAAAGGAGTCATCAGCGGGGGCAATTAAGCAGCTACTACCAAAACAGAATTCATTCTCTCTAAAGCCGAAAACAATCATTGATGAAGAAGACAATACAGATGCCATCAACCCTGTTTGAGATGATACCTCCATGGAGTGAGCTAGGCATAGGCATTTGCTTGACCAAACATCTTGACTACTATGTTTTATTCAAATGTCTCTTTCTTCTCTTCTTTTTATTTTTTTTTAATTTGCAATTTTGATAAGTGAAACGTTCTCGCAAAAGGCTGATCTGTGTATATACGTGTCCATTTCTGGAATTCTCAAGGGTTACTTGTTATCTTTTTATACGAAAAAGAAAATTCTACCTTGATGATGTTCTTTTGGAAGTGTTAGTGGTATCGATTTGTGTTGATTGAATAATGTGCAATGGCACGGCCTATTTGATTGGAACACAATGGCCAGGACCAGTTCATGTTATCTTTTGAAGAGTGAGACTGTGTTTTATTTGCTATATGGTTCATATATACTCTGGAGAAAAGTTCACAGAGAGGTGTCACATCTCATTGAAACACAATGGCAGTCATGTATTCTTTTTCTGGAACTGTTGATAACCTCATATGCTGGAAGTATTTAGTCACTTACTGCCTTATGATTTACGGAAAGACTTGTTAGATTCACACATACTGATAGGGCCTATTTTGGATCCAAAACACTGTCACACCCGGTGTCACACGCCAGGTCAGAATCTGTACCAAGCCATTGCTTGGTATGTCTCGGGAATCTCGAGACAGCATCGCCCCCAAGACACGACAAGTTAGAATCCGTACCAAGGCATTGTTTGGCATGTCCACCACGTCAACCCGCATACGATCGACCCTGGAACAATAGTATAAAGACCTCTGGCCGACATCCGGCCCGGGGGGGGGGAAAACAATTCCACAAACAACTGATTTGCTCGTCGGAGGGGTCACAGTCGGGAATCACCTGACGAAGGCCTTTTTTGCAGGCAGGCGCTCACCCCGAGCCACGAACGCCTCGACCAGGAAATCGCCACCCAGTGAGGGAGATCGAGCTGTCACTTATCTCAGGAACGGAGAGATGTAGCTCAATGCTGACGGTGCTCGGACCAACAAACGCGACCAACACCCCATCGCGAAGGCTCGACCTACCTGGGCGTCCAGCTTAGCCAACAGAGAACTCCCGACATCGACCCGTGGACCTAACCGTGCTGACTCATCAGCCACGACATCTTTGTTCACTAACATTAACCTGATAGGGCCAACTTAGTCCAACATAGGTTGAAGAGTGGGGAAGCCAAGGGCTCATAAAGCAGTCGTGTCTTCCTTACCCTCAGAGGCACCTTTTGGAGCTTTATGGCTCCGAAAGGGCAAAATCGTGCGGGTTCGCACTCACCCAAAATAGACAATCCCTCGCACCCCCAAGGTACACCGAGACAGACCAAGTGGTCCAATATCATATTGGCGCCCATCGTGGGGCCTGACCGACCCAAACCCCCCTTGAGCCCTTGGCTCCCAGCGAGGGGAGATCACCTGATAGGGCCAACTTAGTCCCACATCGATTGAAAAGTAGGGGGATAGACGAAGTGTGATCCTCTGTCACATATTCTTTGCAAAAGTAACTTGGTGATGTCAAAGACAGACTTATATGAGCAATATGGAATTGACCTGTGTATGGCTCAAGCTCATAGTAAAGAGAAACCATTCTCATTAAACCTGCCTTGAACTTTGTCCAGTCCATGCATAACACAGTTATAGTGACTTGCATTCGATCTTGATATCTCCTAAATACTAGCAGCTTAGCCTTGTAGCAGTGACCTTGGAAGGGCTACATAACCTTCAAAGACCTTCCATCTGATGAGAGAGAGAGAGACGAGGCTGGTCTCCTCAATCCTATATACACACCATTGTGTTCTCCTCTCTTTAAATAATTGCAATCTACTTAGGTATTAATGTATACTATGAGTCTACAATATATGAATGCTAACGCTGTCACCCGTCATGTTAATCCAAACATAATCACCACGTAATCCCTCGTGAGGAGTAAACAAAACTGTAATTATAATATGGGCCAATGGAATTTGTTTAAGTCTCTCTAATCTCTTGACCTCACTAATATAAAAATATTTAAATTTTTCTCTCCCCTTCTTCCTCATAAGTATCTATTTTGTATCTATTTCACAAAGTTTGACGCTACCTTTCCTTCGCCAAACGAAAAATAATTTAATTTGTATTAAATATCATCTTATCGATACGATCATATCTCGGAAGACCACTTGAAGATTGATTCAATCGATCGATTCGAACAATAATTCTATATTTTTCATAAAAAAATATATTATATATTTTATATATAGTATTTTTTTAAAAAATCTATATTTTAGATATTTTCCAAAAGGTACCCCTCTTTTTTTTTAACAATGTCCTTAATTTTAAAAAATCCAAAATATCCCTTAATATATTTTTTTTGCCAAATTTTTTCGCCCATTTTTTTTATCAGTTTTTAATTGTTATAGTATTTTTATCTAGCTTGTTTAGAGTGTTTTCCAATAGTATTTACACTGTTTTATTGATATATTAAAAATGCTATAAATATTATTGAAAAATATTATAAGTGATATCATATCATGTCACTTTGGTTATCATTACTCATAGACCATTACACTATTATATTTTTTCGATTTATAATTAGTTTGATTGAGATTATAATTATATTTAGATCATTTATAATGTTTTCAATTATGTTTTACAGTATTCTTATTGTGGTGGTTAAAACACTATAATAAATAAAATACAATAACAAGTAAAAAAAATTAAAATATAATTTAGGTGTTTTTTAAATTAGACATACTATTATATATATATATATATATATATATATATATATATATATATATAATTTTATGCACTTCAGTGAAAAATGATAGTATAATGAAAGATAAAGATGGGACAAAAACACGAATATAGGATATTAAAATAAAGGACATAATATAATTTTCTTCATGTCTTTCACATATTTCATAGATTTTATCTAAAATGTTCATGAATTATTAGAATTTTTTATTCAAAGTTTATGATTTGTTAGTATTTTTAATTAATGAAATATAGGTTTAGGATTTTATAAATTATGTTTCTGTTTTATTTATAGTAGTATGCATGGTCAGAATTTTACTTTTTTCTTAAATTTTTAATCATTTATAAGAATTAATACAAAAAAAATCATAATCATAATTAATTAAAATTTTAATCAATTAAACTTAGGTCTGACCCAAGTGAGACGATAAGTAAGCTCGATCGAATCTAATCAGGTATAGTTCAAAATTGATGTCTCAAACATTGGAATCAAGTCGAGCGAGGAAATACAAACTCATAAGGCAAAGAAATCACTAGAAATATCAACCAGAGAAATAAAATATTGATACATCGTAATTGGAGTAGAATTTTCAACAAACTCATAAGGCAAAGAAATCACTAGAAATCAAATGTATTCCGATTGTCTATAATCCATATCAAGGTGTAAAGACATGCATGTCTTGCATGATTATTTTTATTGCAGTAGTACGAAAAGGGTCCATATATATATCCCTTTGATCAAAGATGAAGAGTAAGGTCGAGTTCATCTTCGTCTCCGGCCGTGCCATTCTTCCCATCAGAAGTGGCCTTCAGGGACGAGGAGCCTCCCATGGGTGCTTGCATCGCTGGTGCCACCTCAAATCTTAGAGTGGGATCGTAATCTGCAAGCCCTTTTGCTGGGAATGCTTCATGGGAGTAATCGTGCTTTCTTCTGTTGTTGGAGGAAGCAGAAGCATGTCGGAACAGCTTATCAAGATTTAGAGCAGCGAGTGCCGGAAACAATGGCACTTTCTTTTTTGCTCTCTTGGCTGCATCCCTCTCCTTTTTGTGTCTGCTTTGATGACCATTTAATGCTTGTTTGCTGGGGAAGATTCTGTCACAGTACTGACAGCTGAAAACCCTTCTTTCCTTCGCATCATCTGTTCTCAGCCTCTTATCATCCATTTGAGACGCTAGAAAAAGAAGAAAACATGTTCAAATGAGATCTAAAAGTTGGCTGTACGATCACTTTTGTTTTTCTTCTGCTTATATTAGTTTGATTATCATATAGTTGATGAGGTTTAAAGAACCACTAGCAACTAATTTTTTTTGTTGGGGTTGTTTGACGCTGGTATATTATCTATATGAAATCTAAGTTTTTGTCACGCGACATCAACGTGACACTAAAGTATTGGCTATGTTGTTTCTGATACATCAATCACACAATATCAAGATGTTGATCACATTGCTTCAACTCTATGATATCAAGGTATTGACTATGTGGTACCCTTATGTTAGCCACGTAGTGTCATGTTGTTGGTTCCGTGGCATCAAGGTGGTGCTGAGGTATTATATGGCTCCGACATGTTAACCCTATGATGCTAAGATGTTGGCTACATAGCACTCTTATATTAGCCACGTAGTGTCATATTATTGGTCATACGATTTTAATGTCTCGACCACATGGTGCCTTGTTATTGTTCTTCTCACTCCGAGGTGTCGATCGTCTTATCTCGATATATCGATCACATGATTTCGACATGTCAATCAATTAGGTATATTATCAACGATAAAATTGATAAAGCTATGACTATAGTAAATGTTTTGAATGGTAGCAAACAATATTAATGCATTAAAATTCCATCAAGTCGACCAAAGTATGATTAAAATTCCATCAGGTAGATCAGAGATTTCATCGATTCATTAGGGTTTTGTATATGGAATCATGTCGATGCAAATTCTATTTTTCTTTTAAAAGAAATATAGAGGGAAACTATTAGAATAAATATCTGATCTCTATAGACAAAAGAAAAAAAAGTTGTGGACAAGGAATTGTGTTGGAAGATTTGCAGAAAAAATCATAAAAAAGAACAAGTTATTATGAATCACAAATCTAGCATAAAATCAAAATAACTCACGGCGAAGAGCAAGGAAATATGAAACATACATTTACTTACTGATACGTAGCTTCTAACAGGACTTTGTGACGATGATGATGATGATGATGATGTCTCTTATGATTGAATTCTTACCTGTACATATAATAATAAATAGAGAGCTGAATAATACAAGAATGGAAGGATGTGATCATTTTGTGGTAAATAATCAATGCATAACCAAATTTCTTTCCTTGTATAATATGATGCATTCCCCTTTCTATAACTATAGTAGGAATCCCCTCAACTCATTGTTACCAATCATGTCTCTTAGTTGTGATGACACATCTGTATGTTCATTCATGATGAACAATGCAGTAAAAAAGGTCTTGTATGATTCCAATGCCACTTTTATTTTATTTTTTTAATAAGAATAAATTTTTATTTGCTAAGAAGAGAGTCTAAAGGATAATACAAGTCAATCCTACAAAATGGATGTTCAATTCAAAAGGAAAGCTTTCCTTTCAAAAATGGAAGGTTATGCTACCCTTGCCTTTATCAGCAGTCTAATGTGTGGTTTGGATATATATATATATATATATATATTTTAAATAAAAAAACGTAAAATAAGGATGTAATATATATGTATAATTATATAAATATACACACATTAAGAAATACTCTATGAGTATTTACTGAGAAAATCATATTAAATTTATTACATATTTAAATGCATAAGTAGTGCCACTATTCATCTGCATTGATGCCATTGTTAATTCATATAATAAGATTATATATGGCAGGTTTATATTTTTGTATTTCTTTTGTCCTCTCTTCCAAAAATAAATAAAAATAGAATAATGGATGACAGTTGTTCTAAAAAATATTTATATTTTGGATATTTTTAATCATTATCCCCATTTGGTTTTTCCATAGTCTAATTTGAAAAATATGCTGATTGATCCTTAACAATTTTTTTTAATCTGTTATAGTATTGTTTTTTACTTTTTATAGTGTTTTGACCACCATAATAAAATACCATAAATCCTATTTGAAAATATTATAAATGGGTCAAATGAAAAATCATACTATGATTCAAATAGGTATTTACAAATAAAAATAAACATTAACTTATTATAAATTTTGGCTACCACAATAAGGAAAATATTCTAAATAGACTCCTAACATCAACTAAATCAAGTATAAATCCAAAAATATTATATGGTAATGGACCATTAGTAATTATAATAAAAAAGAGAAACTATGATGTCATTTATAATATTTTTCAATAGTAATTATAATATTTTTAGGATTTAAAAATACTATAAATGCTCTTAAAAAAATACTATAAATAAGCTAAATGAAAACACTCTAAAAGTTTAAGATTGGTAAAAAAAATATATGAAAAAAATTGGCAAGAAAACTTTTTAGGGATATTTTAAATATTTTTAAAATTAAGGATATGTTTTGGGAAAAAAAGGGGTATCTTTTAGTAACTATCCAAAATATGAGTATTTTATAGAAAAAAAAACCCAATAGAGAACAAGAAAAACAAAGGATGACTTTCTTATAAAATATTCACATTTTATGTATTTCCCAATCGGTTCCTCCCATTTTTTTTCTTTAAATAATATCTTTAATTTGAAAAAACACCTAAATTATCTTAGAAAATTTTTCATCAATTATAGTGTTTTAACATTTTGCAATATTTTTTTTACTTTTGACCTGTTATAGTGTGTTGCCCTCACTATAAACCGGCATTATAAATCAAAACATATTAAAAATAATTTGATATTTCATATTATGATTTAAATAGGTATTTATAATATTTTATGAATAATATCACCTAAATAAAAATTAAAAAATTACTTGTTATAATACTTTGGCCACCATAATAAAAACACTATTGAACATACTCGATAACATAGTAAATATTCTAAATTGACACTTAAAATCAATTAAACTAATTTAAAATTTTAAAATATAATATCATAATGGTCTACCAGCAATTACAATGGATAAGAAATAATATCATATCACTTATATGTCTAATAAACAATATCATAGTCGTTTTGAATCGAAATCGAATCAGGCCAAAATCGAATTGACTAGATGGTTCGTCGGTTCTAAACCCGAAAACAATACTACTATCCATTTCAAAACTCATAGTTTAGGAATCGATGGTTTTGATTCCAAGCTATCGATTTCATAATTTCAAAATAAAATTATTAATAAAAAATAAAATTTATAAGTTATTATATTTTAAATTTAAAATAAAATTTTAGCAATTCAAATTGGAATAATTAATTCTAGAACCGAAATCATTGATTTTATAATCGAATTCAATGCCTCAATAAAAATAATATAAATATTATTTTTAAAATATTATAAACGAGCTAAATAAAAATATTATAATAGTTAAAATTGGTAAAAAAAATAGATTAAAAAATTATTTTAAAAATAAAATCAAAGATACCAATTGATAAATAACTCAAAATATGAATCTTCTATAGAGAAATTGTCCAAACACGAAAACAGTGGCAACATTTTTGAGAAATATGTTTTTTTAAACGTTTTATTGCGTGTAAGGTGTCGACACCGTCTCCCAACGCATCGCTTTTGCTGCCTCGCTTGCGGTTGAACCACCGCGGGAAGAGATAGCGCCTCTGCCTTCTTCTTTTGGGGTTGGGAGAGATGGATGGGATTGCTCTCGGAACCCCTCCGAGATTTAGGGTTGCGAGCCCGTGCTTCTCGTCCTCCAGATTTCGGAGACGCCTACTGTCTCTGGATCCTGCTCCGGGGGTCCCGATGGATCGACCGCGGAGACCGTGTGCTCTCCGGTGCACCACGGCTGAAGAAGCGTCTGTAAGTTGGCGGTGAACTTTGGATTCTTTGCGGCTTGACCCTTTTCTAGGCCTGACCTGTTGCGCGAGGAATTTGAATCAAGTTTGCTTTTCCCCCTCTTCTTGGCTTTGCTATGATATATATATGCATTACATTGTTGACCGTCCTGATTCGGGCTTGTGCTTATGTTCTCTTCGGAATGTTCTCGGAAGGTTGATAGACATCCTGATTCTATCTGGTTTTTGTACGCATGTAAAGAAGAAAACACATTTACATGAAGTAAAAGAAAGTAAAATAGAAACAGGGCATCTGTGGAAGGAGATGTTTTTTCTTGTCAGTTAGGTCCGATGGCCTACAGGCAGTGTAGAGCACCTAGATTTCTGCAGAGTCAGTTCTAAATTGGGATTCCCAATTTCTTTAACTTGGACTTCTCGAAACTTGACGTCTTGCTCCACCAATTTTCTTGAAGCAATAGCTCTATGGTACATCGGCTATCTTGGCCATAGGGTAGCTACTGTTGTGTTGTCAATCAGGCTTTTGATGTAAAGAACACAAGATGAACCAAATGCTAGACCATATTATTCCTTGTGAAGCAAAGCCACACATGTTAAGTCAGCGTTCTCTGATGCTAGCAAGATACTAAAATGGAGGGAATCTATTGAAAAATGGGTATGAAAAAAGGAAAACTGATACCAGTTGTTATTGGTATGTTTGGAATTCGGTACCTTTATTTGGTGAATGAACCTCTTGTAAGTAAAGGGAGTCTAGTATGATGTAACAGAGGGTCCTTTAACCATTCCATTCTATTTAGGGACAACTGAAATCCCTGGCATTCTTATGTATATTTTATCTTATGCTTTCCATAATGTTCACATCCATTTGTTCTTTCAAATACCTGGGGGATGCTAAATGAAGCATCACTAGAGCTTCTTGGATTTATTTGGCTTCATCCCATGTCTGATTTTCACTGTAACTACTAATGTTTAAACTTGGTTGTCTTTGTTTGTGAAGGAGACAGAAGAAGAATGTGACCCTCCAACTTCTGGCGGGCAGAAAATTGCAAATTCTGTTGAGATCAAGGAGTGGCAAAATGGAAATGTAGTTGACAATGCAGCTTCAAGGCAGGGTATACAAATCCGGAGGCGGCCACTAACTGGACCTCCTAAGCACTATGTAGGACCATTTGAGTTCCGGTTGGAAAACGAAGGAAATACCCCAAGGAACATCCTAGAGAAAATAATATGGGACAAGGACATGGAAGTTTCACAGGCATTTTCTAAGTTAACCATGCAAAATTGGCATCGTTGAGAAAAATTGTTAAGTATTGAAAACTCTTACTTTTTCTTCTGTCCAGTTAAAAGAGAGGAGACCTTTGACCACATTGAAGAAAGCTCTCGAGGATGCTCCACCTGTTAGAGATTTTGTTGGAGCACTAAAAGCATCAGTTAAAAATACTGGCATGCCTGCTTTGATAGCAGAGGTAAAAAAGGCTTCTCCAAGCAGAGGCGTGTTGCGGGAGAATTTTGATCCAGTGAGTTCTCACTTTCTTTCTGTTATTCATTTATCTGTGATTCTAGATCTGGGCATATATAGATTATGTGACAGTCCTAAACTCCTACTACATTAAGCTAATTGTTGTTTTTTATTTGTCTATGTATGCTTTTTGGTCCCTCTTACTCATAATCTTATAAATATTTATCATGACTAAACTTTTGAAATTAATGAAGAAAGATGGCTTCTTTTTCTTGTTTTGCTTTTGTAGACTTTGCTCTTTGATGTCTAGCTTTTAGGATGTCACTGTTGCTTTTGTCATATTTGATCTAGTGTTGCTGTACTTTAGCTATTGCTCTTCTTTAGTAGCTACACCCTGATGGTAACTTCGCCCCATTTCGTGCTCTCTTTTTGCAAAAGAGTTGACTTATGATATGATTGAAACAGGTAAAAATTGCCAGTGCATATGAGAAATTTGGAGCAACTTGCATAAGTGTGCTGACTGATGAAAAATACTTTCAGGTGAAGGTTCCCCAATTCTATGCTTGGTTTTGACAACATTATCGATGCTGAAAGTCAATTATTTAACAACATTATCAATACTGAGAATCAATTAGCTATCTGTGCTCATATGTAATTGATTGAGGTTATTATTTTTCTTGTTCAGGGAAGCTTTGAGAATCTAGAGGCCATACGCAGAGCTGGAGTTAAGGTTTATTATCGATATCTTTGTTTCTTTTGAACAGAAGCTTTCTTTAGGTTTTCCACTCTCTCTTATCTGATATATCTCATTTTGTTATGGGCTTCTAATTTAGTGAGAAAATGCAGTGCCCTTTACTGTGTAAAGAGTTCATTATTGATGCCTGGCAAATTTACTATGCTCGGTCAAAAGGAGCGGATGCGATCCTGCTAATTGCTGCTGTTTTACCTGATCTTGATATCAAATATTTGACTAAAATCTGTAGGTTGCTTGGCCTAGCGACATTGGTTGAGGTCCGTTACCTTCCATTTTAAAGCTTAGTTTGATGGCAACTGCAGTTTTTACATACCTATAGAAATTAATACTAAGCAATTCATCATGGCCATTTTGCTGACTGGTGGAAGAAATGTGTGTTCTCTGTTTAACCATATTTAAGTTACAAATAATTTCTTTCAGAGTTCAAATCCAAACTCTGAATGACACACGTGATCGTTGACTCCTTTATTGTTCTTTTGCTAACATTCTCCTATCTCATCCTTAATCTAAAATTTAGTTAGTTTGGCCCTACTTAGTCTCATCGACTATTGGGAAGATGATGTCAGTTTTGCTTGCATGCTCATTCAAATAAAGTGCTGGAGAGCACATGTCAGGTGTCATAGTATGATAGCATCACATGGATCCGTGCTAACCAGTACTCACCATTTAACAACAAGAATGTGTCGGCAATGTTAAAACTGCTTGAGGTCCATGTTGTCACGAACGGTCATCGCACACTCGCAACAACTTCGTTCAACGAACCGATCGTCGTTTTTACATGCTTGAACAGAGACATGACATCCTGTTTTGCCTTGATTTTGTGTGTTTTGCTTGTAAAAATACATGTTCGAACATGTTGCAGCGCTGCAATGCGACCGCTCACCGCGTCGGGCCAAAAAGCCCCAAAATGGTTCTGTTTTCTCTTGTCGTGGGCTGTTTTCTGCAGCCCATTGCAGCGCCCAAAACGTCAGCCATCTCAGCACCCTAGAACCCCCTGGGTGGCACAGGGCTGGATGGGGCTTCGGTATATTGTCAGGCGTTGAAAAATCTTCACAAGTTCGCACGTTGACTTGACGGGAATTTGCCTTCGCGCTCGGCACCCGGTGAGCAGTTGTTTGTGGACTTGCAACTGTTCGTTCTACCTTCTAAAGTCTTTGTTTTCCTCCTTTCTCTCTTTTCTCCTGTGCACACAACGTGCTTGTTGAATTGTTTGTAAAGTTTCCCTATTTGCGAGACGTCGGGACTTGCCCGTCGCTCGTTTTCAATCTAATCAACTTTCTGTTTTACAGGTCCTTCGGGACCTGTACGAGGTTGCAACTAGGCTGAACCTTTGCGGACGCATATGTCGCAATGACGCTTCAAGACTTAGACAATCCCAGCTAAGTCCGAGAAGTTGGCGCAAGGGTGCGTTGCGACTTAGGCAACTCAAGCTAAGTTCGCGTCTTGGCCGCAAGGGTGCCTCACGACTTAGGCAATTCCAGCTAAGTCCGTGACAATGTCCTAGTCCATCTATCTGGCATTTGTAATCTTGTAGTAAACAAATTCGGCGGTAACTTGGACTAGTATATTCTGCTAAGTTCACTATATTAACTGCATTTACGTTTAATCTTTAATTCAATTTTGTTGAATTTATTCATCATTTGGGAGATATGGTATGTTGATTGAATATGTAGTGAGCGGGTTAATCATTTCTCCCACATATGTTTTCTTGGTTTTTTCCATCAGCTTATCGTTGATTATATTGATACTATTTTTTATTAAATTGTACTCTATCTAGCTGCCTATAATATTCAGGTCGAATACTCCGACAGTGCATGGCTTCATTTTTCTGCAGTATCTCACATCATACCAATCTGAAATGTGTTTCTGTAGCCTTTGCATCTGTATTGTATTTTGTGTTGATTTATTGAAGTTGTTTTGCTGTAGGTGCACAATGAGAGGGAAATGGATCGAGTATTGAGCATAGAGGGTATACAGCTAATTGGAATCAATAACCGTGATCTTGGTATTCTTTTAACTGTTTTACTGCAAGATTTTGAATCATTATTATTATTTCTGTTTTTCTTCACACTGTAACTCATGATAATTTAGAAATTCTGTAGCTGAAACTGAGAATTGTTATTACTTATTACCACATTCTGTGATCAAAGTTGTTCTTTTTTGTGATTGCAAACTCATTGTTCTAACTCTTATAGCTTCTGGATGGTTTTTTTCCATATTTATCAGAAAAGTATGGTATTTTATAGTTTATTATTTATGCTTTTTTGCTCTTATCTCTCTCTCCTTCCTCCTTTTTGAGCCTCAGTCATATCAAGGTTTGAGCTAAATTTGACGTCTTTAGCAGCTGAACAAAATGAACAAAGTGGTTTTATTGAAGTTATTTCATTGTATATCCTGGAATTAATTGTGAACTTAGTGTTCTGCATATTGTCCCTGTTGCTTAAGATTTGAAAACTTTATTGAACTCATCAAGACATTTTGATGTGTGCAACAAAACACAAAGCTTTGCTCCACATTTTCTGGGAATCTCAACCAGAGTGTTGAAGATTCTAATGTTATTGCAGGTATATTTCCCATGCTCCATGTTGAATTGGCGGATAGTTCAAAGTGTTCCTTTGCTGTAGATGCCAATACCAATTGTAGAAATGAATGGTTACCTGGATCATTGATTGTTGAATTGCCCAAAATGGTATGGTATGTACCGGTCCAGGCATGGACCGATACACAGACCACCCTTGTTTCGAGCAATTCGATTAAAATAGTAAAAAAGTGGTGGGCCTTAGTCCATTTCAGCATTAAAAAGAAAAAAAAAGGCAAATTAGGACTCGCAAACGGAAGCCCTCATCTTGCGTACGATGCTGCAGCCCTTGCCATCGCCTCTTCGCCGCTGCGATGCTGCCGCTTCCATTTCGACACAACCGCTGCACTTCTCCTCCTTCTTCTTCCATCTTCTTTCCTCCTCCTTCCACCTCTATTCCTCCACCGCCCCTTCCTGTGCACTCTCTCTTTTTTTTTCTCGTTGAAACACTAGTACATACAGGCGTACCATGTATCCGTACACTGGTACGAATTGGTACATACCGTTCTAACAGATTGTCGAAACAGGTCCGAAACTTGAAAAGGCAAACCTTGACCTGGATGCATGAAAGCAAGTTCAAATTATGTTTTAGATAACCATGACTATCTCCAACTCAGATACTGTGTAGCTTATAGAAAGAAATATATTGATATGCCCCATCTAATGCTGTATGAATACGATAAATAGAGTTATCATATTGTCTTCTTGCAGAAACATTTCAAGTTGATATTTCAAACACAAAAAGACTTTTGGAGGGAGAGCGTGGGGAGCTTATTCGTCAGAGGGACATCATTGTGAGCAAATTCATGTTCTAGTTCTGCAGAAGCAATTTAAGCTCAAGATGTTTTATAAGATTTTATTTGAAGTGCCATGTAACTTATAAAATGACAGTTTCCTTCAGCACATGTTTTTGTTTGAATTAATAAAAAGCAACTATTTTGTTATATCCACAGAAATAATAAGTTTCAAGGTATTCCGAGAATATCTAATATTAACTATCTACTGCTATTTTGCATATTTGTGTAGTCACTAAGGTTTTCAGTTTTGTGGCATGCCCCTGCCATGATGATATACCAGCATAGCATGTGCCAAATGGCAACCAACTCCGGTTGGCATTGTCCTCTATGCCTGGCCTGCTTAGTGTTGGCATACCCTCCTGCAGGTACAATGTCAGCACAGATTGTGCAATACTAACTGAGGGGCTTGGCCAAAATTTTTCATTAACTTGTCAAGTCAATATTATTCTTCAATATCTCATTCAGTACTTTTGTATTTTAATCCTTGTATGATAAATTTTAGCATTCATGTTTTTTTTATTTTCTTGAAGTGGATCTACATTATCTCTAACATTAATCAAATTTAGCTTACAATACTTAGCTTTTTTCTCTTTCTGACAGTTGATAATTATTTTCATGGCTACTGAACAGAACCTGGTTTTTCAGGTGGTAGGGGAATCTGGCTTATTCACTCCTGAAGATATTTCTTATGTTCAAGATGCTGGAGTTAAAGCTGTAAGTTGACAGTACTCTATACTTGTGATGTGTATTGATGCTTCATCTGTGGGTGCTTGCATTTGTGTTCATGGATGTTGCTTTTATCAACAGGTGGAACCATTTATATGACTTTTGCTTGTACATCACTCACATTATTCTGATTTAGGGTGTTTCCCCGTACTTTTTGACTTAAATATTAAAATATTAAATTACTATTATAAGTGAACCTTTTCCTAATTCTCAAGTCTGTCCAGCAATTGAGAAAATGTTTTAAGTTAGGCTGCCTATTTTCAATGACGTTTGATTTGAGATGCTGTGGGTTTGAATGGCAGTTTGCTGTGCCCAGATATACTGACGTTGCTTGGTAAAACATGCTCAAATTATCTTGAGGTAACATGAAGCAAATACAAACCCTTGCTTACTGGGCCACTCCTTCTTTTAAAACCCTAAATGTGCATGTAAATAATGCATACAATAGATATTTTGGTCAACTTCAAATTTGTGTTCTTATACCAGCCTAAAGTTAGTGTTGTTCTCTGATCAATTAATAGTCATGACAAAAAGACATTATATGAAAGACATTATATCCAGATGCCAAGAGGCAATTTTGGTTTCTTAGCAGTATTTCTATTCGTTGAACGGTGTGAAAAGATATATGAGCCTAAATAATTGGGAGGTTATGGCTTGTTATTATTATTTGTTGGTTGTAGAAAGCTATTCAGTTTCTTTTTCTTATCATTTTATTAAACCTGTTACGTTCTAAATTGTAGGTACTGGTTGGTGAATCTCTTATCAAGCAGGATGATCCAGGCAAAGCAATATCAGGATTGTTTGGTAAAGACATATCCAAATGATTTCCATCCTACTTGGGCAGCCAGTTTTGTCATAGAAATTATTCAACTCCAACTTTCAAGAACAGGATGGTGTTTCTCTGTTGTGCTGTAATCGATGGACCCCTCTGTGAATCTAAACTGCCTGGTGTTTTATTCTCCAATGTTTTTTTTTTTTTTGTGAGAATTCAAGATATCTACCTAAAAGTTGTCCTGCCGAAGAATATACATTTGCCCAACAGAAATCAGATAATAGTTTCAGTATTTAAATTTGGATATTGTTAATGAAAATGTTCTTATAGTTGGATAAATATATATGGGTTCTGCTCCCAGGTAGAGGAATGTGCCATTTGGTTTGCACAATAATGAATACCATGTCTTTTAAATTGGGTGTAACGTTTTTGTCATTTTCTTTTCCGTACAGTAGTAATAGTGCAAATTGCATGATACGAAAGACATTTATTAATGCCTATATGTTTGTCGTTCTAAGTTATTTATCTGCTTATATCATTGTTGTGAGTCCTTGCCACTAATCGTGCATGGTTATTGTTATGCTCGCTCACGACTCTTTTGCAAAGGAAGATGGGGTGCGAGGATTATTGTTGCCTTCATAAACCTATGAACCCTTGTCAGGGTCACTTTTACGTGTGCGAAGATAATGACGAAGGTGACGAACCCTTGCACCCTCGTCTTTCCTACAATAACAACTGTAAATATGACGAGGCTCAATAAGGTTGTAAGCCTTCGTGTGAGAATTACGAGCGGTAGTGGCGACTTTCATGCCCCCCTCCTTCCTTGCATAAGGAGGCACATGCAAGGTATGTAAAATAATAATAATTTTTTTACGTAGTCATATGAGAATATTTTAAGGTTGAGATGCTCTATAAAAAATAATCAAAATTAGAGATTTTTTTAGAATTTATCCTAATATCTATTAGAGATTTAATATTCTTTTGTCTCTTAAATTCTAATAAACATTTTTTTGGCATTCTTTATTAAGCTCTGATTAATCTTTATAATCTTATCAATAAGATCGAAGAATGTTAACATCGTAGTTTTTTAAAGTATATTTTTTTAATATTTGCATTGATTGTTTTTCTTATCCTATAGTTATCCTTCTCTTTCTTCACAACAAATATATTTTTTCTTTTAACTTTCATCAAGTTTCGGTGCATCACAAATCAGAGTTAAAAGATTTGAAGAGGAATCATCCAATCTGATTTGGTCGATAATAATTTTCCGAATTAGTTGGATGTTAATATTCCGACACTAACTACAATTATGTTTTACAGAGATATGATCTAAAACTAAAGTTGTTGGCAATTGCATCCGTCCACAAGGCCAATTTTGTAATATTAAGTAAGTCGAAGGGTCATTTGCATCATCAAGAAACCCGGAGCCCAAATATTGCCCCCCCAAGTCGGCCCCACTTGAATCCACGGGCTCAGCTGTGTCTCCTTCTTCCACCAAACGGCATTCGCGATTCGATCACAGGCATAGACTCCCGGGGACCACCGTTTTAGCCACTTCCAAGGGCCCTCATCTTTTGATGACCCGTTTGCTGTTCGATGAAATATAGCGTATCCCTTAGCGTTGGCGACGCTCGGCAAATGAGCCTTTGGGCCCTCGTGATCTCTCTTCCTCTCGATGCCATCAAAAAGATCGGGCGGTGTGGTTCCCCGTTACGCCCTTCGTTTCCCTTCTGGATCTCGTTGTATTTAGGTATTTGAGCGGGGGAGATAGCGGAAAACCTAGAGGAGGAGGAAGGACAGAGAGCTGCGAACTCCTGTTTCGTTGTGGTCCAACGGGCCGAAATGGCGCAGAAGCTTCAGCAGCAGCTGAAGGAGGTGGGATCGAAGCTCGAGAACCCTCCTGCGTCCAAGGACGCTCTGATCAAGCTACTTAAGGTCGGTGGTTCATCTCGATTCTTGGATTCTTTTCTTCCGGTGTCGTTCTTGTTTGAGATCGTGCTTTCTAGGGTTTTGGAGTCGTGCGGTCACACTATGTAAGAACTAGGGTTTAATGGGACATGGAATTCTACGGAAAAACGGATTCTTGTCATGTTTGGCGTGCTTGAATCGATAAGTTTGCATCTTTAAGTGCAAGGGTTTTTAGTTGTAGTGAAAAAAAAAGGGTTCTTTTACTGCCCTGTTTTGCTTCCGTTGAAATGTACACCTTTTCCTTTTTGTCCAAAATAGGAACCGAACTTAGAGCCTAGACCTTCTGAAGAAGGTCACCGGAGTATTTCTATGGTTTAAGAATTATGGAGCTGACTTTTCAATTTCGTGATTCAAGGGCAAAGATACTCCTAAGAAAGCTCATCTAAGCCACTTTTTCTTTCTAAACTGCTGGTCCTCTCTGGTCCAGAACCTCAAAATTTGAAGCGAACCCCACCAGTACTTCCAATCAATCTCGTTTGGTTCTCCAAATAGTTTATCAATCAAGGTACTTAATGTTGGTAATTGACTCAAATTTTGGAAACTTTTCTTTGGGCCATTCTTGTTTGAGATTGTGGTTTCTATTGAATGGAGATTCATCATGATACACAATAAGTCGCAATGTGGCCCTCACACTACAAGCGTTTATTGCTTTGATGCCATATTTTTCAGGAAGTGAGCCTGAAAAGTTCTTGGATCGAACCCTCAAAAAAGACTTAGAAGTTGTTTTTGGGGTAAGTAATGGATTATCTCTAGCCCATACTCAATGTGGGTGGGATTATGGAGGATCACAATGTTTGCCTGCTAACTTATACAGTGACACACCATGTACCAGATACATGTATTAGGGCAAGTGCAGAGACATTAAAAAATAAATTATTGCAGAATTTAGTTATACTAAGAAATTTGAACTTCAAAAAGTAAAATGCTTTGGATACCTCTCCCATTCATTTTGGTGTTTCCCACCTTTAACCCACTTGATCCTCAAAACCTTTGCTTACAGGAACAAGGCTTTATATGTTAATCGTCCTCAGACTTCATATTGGTGGGAGTCTTTTGCATCAGTTTTTTTCACTATCTCATTGATGATCTTTAAGGTTTAATCAATGCTTCATAAGATGTAAAAAATATTAAATGTATATAATATTTTCTTTCATGGATATTATTCTTTTTATTGGTTTTAAGTTTTGAATATTCAAAATTATGTTAAACACAACTCGAACCTTGCACAAAACAGAACAAGTTGGATATAGGTTGGAAAAATATGTTATTTTTTCGTATGGATTGGGTTTAGCTTGATCATTTTTAGGTCAACCTAAAATGCATGTGGTGAAATTCTTGCCCGACCATGAAATGACTTCTTCAATGACAGAAATTAACTACTATTCAGGACTGCTTGCAGTTGCATGTGTTGAGTTGCATTAGTTTGTCAGAGAAGTCAGCATAAAAAAATCATCCCAACAAGAGGGCCTTGTGCAACTGATATGTAGTGGATTTTGGGCAAATTTATGACCTTGAGAGCTTAAATTATTTATTTATTATTGTGAAGCAGTCTGCTTTGCAACCTTGATCAATGGGAGAAAACAGGGACTCCTGACCTTTATGATCTTCATTGTTGAAGTGTAACTTTCCTTGCAGGGTTCACTTGTTTATTGTTGGTATACCTTTGAGCATTTAACTTTTATTTTTCTCTTTTTGTTGTATCGGTCACTATCTTAATATTGAATATCATATGTTCACAGCCTGCAGTATCAAAGTTTCTGTGCAATTATCACTTTTTTATTAAATGGGCAAAAGAAATAAAGTCTTTTTATTTGGTATAAATGAGTTGATCGTAGAATTGTTTTACATCCTGTTGCCACTGCAATAATAGAAGTGGAGATTCTGGTGTCCTTTAACATTTTCTGTAACTTATTTTTTTTGGATGTCTAGCAAGCTGCAAACTGTCTGTCTGAGATAGATCAGTCACCAGTGCCTTCAGTCTTAGACTCGATGCAGTCTTGTCTTAACGCAATTGCCAAGAAAGAATTGCTGACACATCAAGATCGGGATGTCAAAGTTCTCGTAGCAACCTGTGTTTGTGAGATCACCAGAATAACTGCGCCACAAGCTCCTTACAGTGATGATGTTCTGAGGGTTAGTATTTTCCTCTGTAGAGAAAATTGCATTGAAGCTTTAAAAGAAACAAGGATCTAGTGTGTGGATGAATTTTTTTTCGTCTGATTGTAATCTGTTCTTGCAGGACATATTTCATTTGATTGTTGGTACCTTTGCTGGGTTAGGTGATATTAACAGTCCTTCATTTGGGAGAAGAGCTGTTATCCTGGAGACTCTTGCTAAATACAGGTCCTGCGTTGTGATGTTGGATCTTGAATGTAATGATCTGATACATGAAATGTTCAGAACATTTGTTTCAGTTGTCAGGTGAGTACTTCTTTAAGTTTGCAAACATGGTTTTCCTGGCAATTAGATCAAGTCTGTGTTTGTGGGGTCTAACTTTCTGGTTGATAGATTAAAAAAATGTAAGGTCTAACTTTCTGTTATTTTTAAGTTTTATTTGGATATAGATATTATTTAAATTTATGCTGGTTTATAAAGCAATTTTAAGTTTCATATGTCAGAAAGATACAACTCTAGAAAGAAGATACATATGCTGATCCTATGGAAGTTCTGACTTTTCTAGCAGCATATTAGGAATTTATCACCAAAGGATCCCATTAAACTTCTTTTTTGAAGACCATAGGAAACTATGTTTCAGTTATAAAAGTTGGGTAGCACGGCAACTTCCAAACTTTCATATAGGTTGGCAATAGTGTACAAAATCAAATTAAAACATCAAGATTCATGCATTGTGAGACAAAATGGTGAGATTTGCTCCAGTTTTGACTGTGCAAAATATTTTTATGTGTGGTTATAGCAAGGCCTATAATCTTGGTTTGGTTCCAATCGTTGTTGGACCAGTGCAGACTGGTGTAGGTAATTGATATGGGCAGTACTCGGTATGAGTCATCATCACCAAACCAAGAGAGAATGAGAGAAAAAGAGGAGGAGAAGAATAGAAGGTGCAAAAGGGCTGGTGACAGGAGGAGAATATGTAGGAGGAGGTAGAGGATGAGAAAGAGGAGAAGTGGAGGAGGAGGTGGTGGTGGTGGCGCTGGAGGAGGATGCAAACTAGGTGCTGAGGATGTGAAGACACTTATGAGGAGGCAACGACGATATTATAGCATGGTGGAGTAGACCGTGATGGTGGCAATATGGTAGTAAAGAGGAGGAGGGAGAGAGCTGCATGAAAGAGAGAAGAAAGGGGGGGAGAGAGAGAGAGAGAGAGAGAGAGTAAAAAAAAGAAAAAAAATGAGGGCTTCCAAAGCGTTCCAAATAAATGACATGGGTATTGGACGACAAACTTACTGCCTGGTACATCCATTTGTAACTAGTGAAGCCAAGCAGTATGCAAATAAGGTAAGCATACCAGGCATTAAGCCATGTTTGAACTCAAGCCATGTGAAAACTGGCAGTCCTGTTCGTGGTCGGAGATCCCTACTGATTGGTATGACTTTTTTTTTTTTTAACTTTGGGCTATAGTGCTTCATCCATTTTCTGTTGCAGGTTCTCTCTTAAGACAACCTAGATCTATTCAGGTTAAAGAAAATTTTGATATTCTAATCACCTGGTCGTTGTTGCATGATAGAGAAAACTTTGAGATTTTTCAGTATTTTATGTGTTATAGTTGTTAGTATGAACTGTAATAATTATATTTTGAATGCTTATATTTGTATGTATGGATTGTTGGATCAGATTATCTATGGATGAATTGGATTGGTCTTTTATTATTTAATAAACAAACTAAGCCTTTGTACTGTGGAATTTACTTGAGTCATGATGACTTATGTGCAGTGATGATCATCCCCAGAACATTCTTACGTCAATGCAAACCATCATGATGCTCATTTTAGATGAGAGTGAGGATATACAGGAAAATCTTATAACCACCATACTCTCAGCTTTGGGCCATAAAAGAAATGTGAGCTTATTCTACTTGATTTTTCCTTTTGTTTCTGATATGTGATACCCTTTACATCTTCTTTAAAGATTGGTTTGTAATTTGTGGTACTAGGTGTGTTCTATGGCTGCACGGAGGCTTGCTATGAATGTTATAGAACATTGTGCAGGAAAACTTGAACCATATATAAAGCAGCTTCTTGTGTCTTCATTGTCAGGCGATAACAGTTATTTGAATTGTTCTGTTGATCATCATGAAGTCATCTTTGATATATATCAGTGTGCACCCGAAATTCTTTCGGGGATAATTCCTTATATAACGGGCGAGTTGTTGGTATGTTTCCATAATCTTGACAAACATGTTTGCTAATTATCCCCATAATTATCTTTTCTTTTGAGAAATGTCACTTTTATGTAACATTTGTTAATTAATATCATAATGTGAGTATTCTCTAATCTTCACACTAGTATGCTATTTGCGGGCTTCTGTTGACTTTATCAGACTCATATAACTTCTATTCATGCTGTTTATTATGAGAACAAGTTTTGGTGCTATTAGTAAGATTAGTCTTTATGATGACTAAAGTTTGAGTCACAAGAATAAATTTTCTATTTGCAGGGATTGGATTGCGTGCATTGATTCTCCCAGATTTTAGTGGTGTTAGCCTCTTGCATCAGACTGCCTTTTTTTCTGTTCCATACTACTTATTCTGACTACTGAGTTTTTCTCACATTCACTTATTGAGTTCTCAAGCTTCTGTCTGGTGTTTGATGTACTAAACTTTCTCTTACCTTTTTGCATGTGCATGTGTTGGACCATTGTCTAGATTCTTTCTGTTGCTACCAAACAAGGTCTGAAAGACAGGATTTAGGTCCTAAATTGGCGATGAACCTTTTGATCAGTTGAGTTCAATAAAATTCACCTGAACCCATCAGAACAATCCACATTTTAATGGAATTGATGTAGTATTTTAGTGGTACTTGAATGATCCCCATCTTGATGCATGTTAGCCCATGTGAAGGAGAACATGTTGTTGCTTTGATGCCTGTTAAAGGAACACTGAAGTAACCTATTTGTCCAATAACTTATGTGGAATAGGTTTTCATGTTATGACTTGAGATGTTCAAACCTGTATTATTGATAACATTCTAATCAGAGCATATATATTGATCCAACTCTCCATGATCAAGGTGCCACACATATCATATAAGAATTTTGTACTAGTATTAGTGCTTTGCAACTATTAGGAAGCTTGATCAAATCTACAGATCTTTCTTTCAATTTTGGTATATTACCACAGTTGGCTTATTTTTGCTGGGAGAATGTGTAGATGATGATAAAACTTTTTTCACAACTACCAGAGATTATATTTGTACATTCAATATACAGAAATCTTCATTTTTTTTTTTGAATAAAAAGCAACTCGATAAAGCTTTAACTTCTCAAAACAAGATTGATGGTCGAAGGCCAGCTACATCACAAAAAAAATGGAGAAGCACTCGTTCTCCCAAAATTTGCTGCCTTGTCAGCTACCCAATTGCAGTCCCTGGGAAAGTATTCAAAGCTGTGAACATTAAGCTTACAGGAAAGGGAAGCAATTTCTCTAAGAAAACTCTGAAGATATCAGGGAACCAGAGCAGTTCCCTGGACAAAATTAAGCAGATCCTGTGAATCCATGCAAATGAGAAGATTGGTAAGGAAGAGAACCTCTGCCTTCCATAAGCTAGAAACCAAGGCTATGGTTTCTGCCATTAAAGAATTATCAGCTGCACATGGACCGCCTCCACATCCTACTGGTGTCCTGTCCTTCCGCCACATATCTGTACCCCCCCTGCAAAGAAGGTAAAAAAGAACCATCAGTTTCTATAATGAAAGAGTAGGGCTGCTGGACTGAGGCTGGTTCCTGTCTTGGAGTCGGGGGCCATCCTTAGGCTGCTGCCTCAAGGCAAAGTAATCGTGAGCATACAACCAGACCTTATGAACCAGGGAGCTAGGTCTAGTCCAGTGGTTGCGAAACTTGGCATTATTCTGGTTGCTCCATAGGAACCAAAAACCATTCGCAATAACCGCAGAAACCCATTTACCAAATTCCTTGTCAAAAGCGTGGCTCTCATTGAGCCAGTCCCCTTGCAGCGAGGAATTCATGAACCTAAAAGAAATCCCAAGCTGCTGTTGAAGCCCCATAACTCCACAGAAAAATGGCATTTCAGGAATATGTGTTTCATAGAATCCGAATAGAGATGGCAGCAATGACATTCATCTACTTGACAATTAAGAATACCAGAGATCCAATGTGAAGTAGGGAGACGAAGCCAAGAAAACTTCCACAGAAACAATTTAATCCTGGGAGCAACCTTCAAGAAATCTTTAAATTAATCATGTATAAAGGAGACTACATGTTCATCATGGTACATAGAGGGACTAGCCTATCCTTCTGACATTTGTTCATTTTTTTTATGAATAAATTACGTGCATCCATGTCTTTAATATTTGGGTTGGCTACATGGATCTTTTCCCATCATTGAGCTATGTGATAAAGCAATATCCTTATGCTTTGGTAAACAATGCCTAACAAGGAAATGCATTATGTTAGGGCATAAAGTTAATCTGCATGTTTGCCAAAGATTTAATTTAGCATGACAGTTTTTACAGTGTGACAGTCCAAATTGATTTCATCTTTCCATCTTTCCATCTTTATTTATTGTTTTAATATTGTTAAATTGGTCGCTATGTTCAAATCTTATCTCTTTCTCCTTTTGTGCCAAGAGATTTGAGTTTGTGTGGTCCTTATTTTGTTTTTCTTTGTTAATCATATCCTTTGAAGATTGTCACCCTTGCTTTATTGTTTATGAAGTTATTTTGCTCGCTTTTGAAGCATCAAACTTATGACTGAAAACAGAAAAGTTTGGTGCATATATTTTGTGGAAAAATACGTTATTTGCACAATTTTATTATGTGCTGAGAGCCTTAGATTATATATCAATTCCATCATCTGATTTCAACTTACTATAGTTATATCTGACTTTAGAGCTTTCTTAGAGATCTTAGATGTATTGTTTATTAGTGTTTAATTCTTGAACTTTGACATTCTGTAGACAGACAAGTTGGATATTCGGCTTAAAGCAGTTCAACTACTTGGTGACCTATTTTCTTTACCCGAAGTGCCTATCTCTGAAGCTTTTCACTCGGTCTTCCTAGAGTTCTTAAAGAGATTGACTGACAGATTAGTGGAAGTCCGCTTATCAGTGATTGAACACTTGAAGAATTGCCTAATCTCCAACCCTTCCCGACCTGAAGCTGCTCAGATTATAGGTATGATGCCACTTGCCAACATCTTTTGATAATATAATTTAGTATTTTTTGGAACGCGTGATGATATGTATTACGATGTTCATCTTCCAGAGGCACTTTCTGATCGAGTGTTGGACTATGATGAAAATGTTCGCAAAAGAGTTGTTGCTGCAGTTTATGATGTAGCTTGCCATTCATTAAAAGCCATTCCACCTGAGACTGCTAGTCTAGTGGCAGAGCGTGTCCGAGACAAATCTGTCTGTCTTCCTGCTCCTGTTACATCTGTCTGCTCATTTACTTTTTAATTGATTTACTGACCTGTAATTTCTTTCTTAAATTTATTAGTTGACTGTTAAGAAATATACCTTGGAGAGGCTAGTTGATCTGCATCGACTCTATTGCTTGAAGAGCTCAGATGGTTCAACAAACATTGATGATTGTAAGTGGATACCTGGGAAATTATTGAGATGTTTATATGACCGCGATTTTAGGTAAGGAAAGTGGGAACTTATTCAAAGTATTAATGGTTTTCACTGAAATAAGTGACATTTAACTTGCATAGTTTTTTTTAAAAATTTTCTCTTGTATATTAATCAGCAATTGCTTAATCATACTTTGCATGCATGTTCTATAGGTAAATTTTGTAACACTGACATGGATACTAAAACTGAATTATGATGATTTCATAACCGTCAAACCTTCATGAACTACAAAAAATCAGCAATTTGTGGCACTTTAGATATTTCCCTCCTCTTTTCTGACTTTCCGAAGTGTACTCTAGGTTTCCTCTTTTCCGGATCATGCCTATGGGTATAGCATCTTGATTTTGACATCAAGAGACTACATAAGTGCAAGTTTTTATTATTATTATTTTGAAGTACAACTTTTCAACTGTAGTAACATCAGCGTTTAGGTCCTGCTATTGCTTATGTATATTCTCAGAACAATACAATATGTTTTATACTGCAGAATTTTGTCTTCTCGTGTGTGCAAGTTCAATGAATTCCAGATGCATCTTTGTGCCCCAAGTATTACTTACTATTTAACCATTTGAGCTTTCAGTAATTGCTAAAAGCACTTCATTGGGAGGATAATTTTCTGCTTTTGGCTTCAGTGAATTGGACTGGTTTGTTTTAATGTGATGTTCAATGTCTCGAAATTGCTTGGATTGGTCCGATGCATTCATTTTTGTTGTCTTAAAAATGGGAAACTTTGTTGCATATCAAGATGATTCTGCTTCCAAACATTTTGGTAGGCTAACTTTGACTCCAAAATGTTCTGATAAAATATGCAAGTCTTAAAAATGGGAAACCTTGTTGCATATCAAGATGATTCTGCTTCCAAACATTTTGGTAGGCTAACTTGACTCCAAAATGTTCTGATAAAATATGCAAGTCTTAGGTGTTTGTTTTAGTTATTTTTGTTGGATCAATTTTTACAGATTAAGAAAATCACAATTTTGGTTGAGAATTTCTCATGTTCTTCGGGCTTTGCAACTTCTTCATACAAGAACTTTTGATATCATCAAAAGTATGCTGATTGGTAGACATAATAAGATTCTAAAAAATTACCTTAAAGAGGTCCTTAAATAACAAAGATGTGATATATTAATGGTTTCTGTGAATGGAAATAGTTATACTTTAAAGAAGTTTTCTGGTTATTCTTATTTATGCTTCAATATCAGCTATCTGCATTTGATTAAATTAAAAAAATCATAAATTGATATTTGATTAAGATATCGTTTTGTTAGTCACAATTTTACCAGCTGCTTGTTTTGTGGTGAACTTGTTATTGTAGTTAACAAATCCAACACAATCTACTAAGAGTAAGATGCTTCAGCAACTATCTTGTTAGGTGATCACCAAGAAAAAAACTTGTTTGACTTAAATTAAACAAAAAATTCATAGTCTTTAAATTAGTTCAAAATTTGAATTTTTTTATAGGTTGTCACTTGATTCCTAGTTTTTCTGGTGTTGGTGTAACTCATATTGTTGCAGCTAAGTATGAGCCTTGGTTCAATGACAAGGTTGCTTGTTTGCAATATGCATGATCAGGCTTCACCCTTCATATGATTGCACCTAACCAACAAATTTGGCACCAAAATTACAAAGCTCAAAGGTTGTCGGATTATTATTTTATTATTATATTTTCTTCCATGGACATTTGTAGCATTTTAATGATCAATTTACCCCTCAAACGATATGTTTTGTTCACTTGCAAGAAAGTATATGTGACTGACCTGAAAGATTCACCATTATTTTAGTCTTTGATGATATATTTGGAGGTATATAATTATTCATCTACAACAGAGGTTAAAAAGTGATTGATACTTTTCTCTTGAGCTTTTAAGGTTCGTGGAAAACACTGCCTTGACTTGCTGATATGGAATGTACCTATTTGTAGAAAGAGTGGCATATCAATTTTCACATATTCATTCTTTTGCTTTCTTATCGGGTTGATTGCATGTGCATTTGAGGGTCTGGGATTAGTGTTTTTTTATTATGCAATGGACAATGCCTTGGTCTTGAGAGAGATTGTAAGGTTTTACACAACATTTTGCAGGTCAGAGGTGATTGAACTTATCCTTTGTGGATCTTTGTTCCCTCCTGAATTCTCTGTCAAAGATAGGGTGAAACATTGGGTTACAATTTTCTCAGTATTTGATAAATTTGAGGTTAAAGCTCTTGAGCAGATTCTTGCACAAAAACAAAGGTTTGCAGAAGATTCAATATTGTAGCTACAGGATCTTCTCTCTATTCAGATAGGAGTATCTAGTTTGTGATAGACTGTCCACGGATTTTCAGGTGATTTCCTCTTCGATTGCAGGTTACAGCAAGAAATGCAAAAGTATCTGTCTCTTAGACAGGCATACCAGGTTTGCATATAGTGGATATTAAGAGTAGTATTTTCTTGATTTCATGATTCTATTGTGAATCAATCTTGCTAAAATGCAGGAAGATGCCACTGAAATCCATAAAAGAACTTTTGGCTGCTTCAAGAGCATGTCTCGCTTGTTCAATGATCCTGTGAAGGCTGAGGAGAATTTTCAGTTTCTCAATCAACTAAAAGATGCCAATATTTGGAAAATGTTGACAACACTACTTGATCCATCCACTAGTCTACACCAAGCATGGTCATGTCGGGTAGTTATCATTCAAATTACTTACTTCATTCAAATACATACTTCTTTCGCTGTAAGCTTTGAAAAAGTTATAATATTGTTGGATACTCCACAATGCTGAAATAATTAGAAGCTAGAATTTGTTGCATATTTTAACTCAATTAACTACCCTGAAATCGTTGTGCAGCATTTCATTTTCAAGTCAGCCAAGTCTGACAATTAATTTTAGGGGAAACTAATTTAAGTGTTTAATTATTTATGCAGGAAGACTTGCTTAGGATCCTTGGGGAGAAGCATCCACTTTTTGATTTTATGGTAACACTTTCTTTGAAGTGCTCATACTTACTCTTCAACAAAGATTACGTCAAGGAGATAATATCAGAAGCTGATGCCCGACAATCTGTTGGAGATGTGAAACTTATTTCTTCGTGCATGAACCTACTTACGGTACAATATACTTTAACATTCTATATATTTCAGGTTCAAATGTTATGGGTTATATAAATAGTTGAATTGGAGTATTGATTTATTTGAAGCTTATGCAACAAGGACATCCACAATTCCACATCTATGAAGATGAATGCTAAATATCCTTATGTTAGCTTTATCTTTTTGATGGTATTTAGATTCACAAAATTAAGTGGTTATTTGAAGTTGGGTTGCTGAGGAAAATGTCCCTTTCTGGCTTATTACCTTAATCCAATTAATGATGCTTAAAATTATTTTAATTCTTTTATGTTAGAACTTTGGCTTATTTTTAGATTAGACTCTCCTTTGTACCTTTTGGTCTTACTGTAACTATGTTATGTTTAGAGAAAAAAAAAAGAAAATCGTGTCTCTTTCTGAAAAATATTTTTTTTGTAACAAAATTATGTTGGGCTTCAGACTTTGTAGATCTTTGATTTTCAAATTATAAATTTGAATATTTTAGGTTATTGCAAGCTACTCTCCATTGCTTTTGTCTGGGTGTGAAGAAGATCTTGTTTGTCTTCTGAAAGGGGACAATGAATTAATTAAAGAAGGTATTGCTCATGTTTTGGCAAAGGCTGGTGGGACCATTCGTGAACAACTGATGTTGACATCAAGGTAAAAGTGGTTATCTATATGTTACCAAATTTACAATATTACCTGTGGCCTTTTTCCTTTTTTTTGGATTTTACCACTTTAACTATTTGACTACTTGGAAACTGCATTTTTATATCCATTTTTTTGTTATTTATCCTACTGCAGCTCAATTGAACTACTTTTAGAAAGGCTTTGTCTAGAGGGTACCAGGAAGCAGGCTAAATATGCTGTACAGGCCATTGCAGCAATAACTAAAGATGATGGTCTCAAATCACTCTCTGTTCTATACAAGGTTGCATTGGTTTACTTCATGGAAACTTCTTTTGTGATGGCAGCTAAACTGAATGAACTTTCTGATTGACTTCTCAGAGGCTTGTGGATACGCTGGAGGATAAAACACACCTGCCAGCCATCTTGCAGTCTCTCGGATGTATAGCGCAGACTGCTCTGCCAATTTTTGAAACTCGAGAGGATGAAATTATAGAGTTTATAACGAGTAAAATCTTGCACGACAGTAATGTATGGCTTTCTGATCCAAATAAATTTTGCATTGTCCTCTTTGCCATAGTTTCAAATATTGGTCAATAAAGTACGTATCAACTGCTTATCACCAGTCTGACCATGCACCATCATTGGACCATATGGTCTGGCATGGTTGATATTTTTTTTTTACTTTTTCTTTTTGGTGATACTGGGTAATATGGGTCAGTGTACCACCTGGTGTACTAGTACCACACCGGTCAGGTAGATTAATGAAACCGGTATGGGATAAGTTGTAAAAACTTGCTCTATGCTTTATAATTTCTGGATGATGTAAAAGTTGTTTGTCTAATGTTTCTGCTTTATTGCTGAAGGCTGATGAAATTTCTTTAGATAGTACTGAATGGAGTGAAAGGTCTGAACTTTGTTTGATAAAGGTTAGTAAAGAAGATTCAATAATGTGTATTAGAGCACTAACATTAATTTATTAGTGAAAATCTGGTTTTTTTTTTCATTTTATTGTTGTTCATTATCCTTTTGTGTGTGTCATGCAGATTTTTGGCATTAAAACATTAGTTAAGAGCTATTTACCTGCCAAAGATGCCCATTTGAGACCAGGAATTGAAAACCTTATGGAAATTCTTAAAAACATACTCTCTTATGGGGAGATTGCTCAGGGTATTAGATCAAGGTATTGAATAAACCTTCTGAATATTTATTATATTTAGGCTATTTTGAGTACTTCCAAAAAATTATCTGCTAAAAAATAATACTTCTGGCAGTGATGTAGATAAGGCTCATATGAGGCTTGCTTCAGCAAAAGCTGTTCTTCGCTTATCAAGGCATTGGGACCACAAGATACCTGCTAATGTTTTTTATTCGACTTTAAGAATTTCACAGGTAGGTTATCAGTTATGGCAAACCAACATGCTTTTTCTACAAAAGAAAAGTATATACAAGCAATTATATCTTTGAAAATTTTGCAGGTAGATTATCAGTTATAGTAGACACCAACATGTGTTTTCTTTAATATATATATGCATATATGTATGTTCATATGCAATTAGGTCTTCTCAGTGCATTATTTTCTTTACTGATATTTACTTTTCAACATTGATTATTTAGGATGCTTATCCTCAATCTAGGAAATTGTTCCTAAACAAAGTACATCAGTATATCAAGGAACGACTATTAGATGCGAAGTATGCTTGTGCCTTTTTACTTAACATTAATGATTGTCACTACCCAGAGTACGAAGAGGTAAAGCTTTTGTTTCTTCTTGTGTGATAGATCAGTTTGTCAATGTTCAATACTATAAAGTCATTGTTCGTTAACATAAGACCCTTGCATCTTCCATTGTACCAGTGTAAACAATGTCTTCTTGAACTCATGCAAATATGCCAGCAAGTTAAGATACGTCAACTTTCTGCCCAATCTGACATGAATTCGGCAACAACATATCCAGAATATATTCTTGCATATGTGGTGCATGTCCTTGCACATGACCCTTCATGTCCAAATGTTGATGAGTGCATGGATGTTCAGGCATATGAGACCACCTACTGGTATGTAATTTTCTTTTAAATTTGGACTAATCATCCTTGATTATATTTCACACATTAAGAACTTTCATATTTGAGTATATTTGCTTTTAGGGCTGTAATTGCAGTTTATTTTACTTCAATATATGCTCATATAAGGTCATTGCACTATCTTATTGAACATTTGCATATTTGGACCTTGTTTTTCAAAGTGAAAAGTTTCCTTCATGCGAACATGTCATCACACCATGCTGTAGATTTTGAACCTGTAAAAAATGACTGGTTAGTTCAATTTTAAGACGAACTGGTTGTTCTTGTTGTGGAGATCTCTTGATGTGATTGTCATTTTCAATTTTAAGACAGCTTCTGAAGGAAATTATTTCTATCTAGTGATCCATTGTGCATGAGGAAACAATGGATGCCCATTTTTTTTTCTTGATCTAGCTGGCTGTCTATGTAGCATTAGGAAACAATGTCTTCTTGATCTATTTCTCTTAATGCTGCAACATTTTTTTCTTGCATCTAGCTGGCTGTCTATGTGTGAAAATTTAAGAGAAATAGAGATGACAGTGTTTATATATCGATTTCGATGAGAATTCAGGCATTATATTCTCTTGTAAGATTACAAGGTTATGATTAAGAAACTATTTTTTTTGGATATGCTAATCTTTTCGTAGCTTCCAGGCGGTTGAGTTTGTTTCTTTCCTTGCTGTTGCATGCTGATGAAGGTTGCCAATCTGATGCATTTTTAAATCGTAGAAAGGATAGCTATAATGCAATCCTTTCTATCCTCCAAAGTATTAAGAACTCCGAAGATGTTGATGGAGTAAAATCAAATGTAAGTAATTAGTCGAGCCACTTATTCCCAGAACTTACATTGTCGAACAATTTTGTGATACAACTTCGTATTATTGTCGTGTAATGCTGTTCTTTTAATTATTCAACTGAATTTTGCATTTGGTGGGAAATGTGCAGACTATACATGCTATATGCGATCTTGGGCTATTGATTACAAAAAGATTAGTGTCTGATGTCACAGAGGTTTCAGGGTTTGATGCAGTTCCATTGCCATGTAAGCTGTACAAACCTGTTGACAAAAGCATGGATGAAGACATCATGGTCAGTATTTCCTGGTTAAACATTTTCCAATCTTTCCCAAGAAAACTGCATGCGGAAAGGTTACTTTTCTGGATTTTGGTGATTCTTCATTTGATCTATTTAGCTGCTATTTCTTATTCTGATTTCCTGGTTGACTGAGCAGACTTCAATGCAGTGATAATGTTCAAGGCATTCATCCTGTAAGAACAGGAAACAAAAATATTAGTTGATGTGTACTGAACTATTCTAGGGAAAAAAAAATCACTAACTGGAACAAAGATCATATGAAGTCAAATCCATGCTATATGCGGTGTAATAGTGAGGGGTGATGGCCACCGGAAAACTTATTTTATTTTACTTAATGGATTATGTAACTGTTTCAATAATGTTAAGCAAGGTTTTTATTACTGGCATACCAGTTGGTGCAAATCTATATTTACTTGTAGCCATCTGGAACACGGGCTAGACATTTTCACCCAATCTATTTCCATACTGTTGTACAACCCAATACATGTATCATGCCAAGTGTACTGTCCAGTGCTCTCATCATACCGGTACAATTTCATCCCAATATGTTTCCTTTCCACACAGTCAGGCCTAGCTTTTAAATATTGCAATATTGTCATAGAGTGATCATTTGGACTTGGGTGCCATGGTATCGGCAAATCGACAGAGAATTCAATGCTCCACCTCATCCCTGAGCTCCTCCCTCTCATAATCAAGCAAATGATCTCTGCGTCCTTTGTACTCAAATATGGTTAGCAATTAAGAGCAAAATGAAAGCTGCTACTGCTGGTGTTAGTAGTGGTACTAGGCTAGAAATAGCGTAGTATACGGCTAATGCTGCTGTTGTAGTACTGTCCTTTAGTACTAAAGATATTTATATGTAGGAGCATAGCTATTGCTGCCGCTGCAACAGTAGTATGCGACAATCACTATGCTCGTAAATTACTATATATAGGAGCAAAGCTCCTATTGCGGTAGTAATATAGTATGTTGTCAAAAGACAAACACTCAGGGACTCGGGCGTGGCTAGGTCAGGCCCAAATGCCTCAAAGGCCTCCTGGTGAGGTGCCTTGACTTGATGAGCACCCCAACGAGGGCTCTGGACCTCCCAGACACTCGCCTAGGCCAAGTTGTCAGGCTTCTGCAGTTACTGGTATAACTCCACTGCCTGTCCACCATTGCCAATGTCAATATGCCTTTGCTGTGTATCTTCTCTCCTCTTCACTTTCTTTTCCTCTTCTCTTCCCTTTTTCCTCTTTCCTCCCATGCCTGTGTTCGCTTCCTCCTATCACTCTCCTCTTCTTGATCACTTGTTCCCTTTTCGTCCTCCTAATAATCACCTTGTTCTGCTCAGATGAGCTCATAGGTGAGTGCCTAGCGCCGCAGAGTATACATCTCAGTTGCTGATGTTTGACATGGATGCCATCTGAGAGAGTATTCATGGCATTTCATGAGTGATTGATTTGAGTATATGCCATTTATTTGTGTTTCGAAACATCAATGTTGCATTTGCTACCTTTTTTTTCAATTTAACGAAGTGTTTTTTTTTTTCCAAATGGTGACTTGTGTTAATTGATGGCCATATGCGATCGCCATGCTTTCATCCTTTATAAGTGGTAGGCAAGGCAAAACAAGTAGAATCAACTAATTGATAACAGGTTGCTGATTCTTCTCTCTGTATGTCTGGTGGAGGATCTTCTAAAAGGAAGTGTTAATGTTACTGCAGCCACTATGTAGTAAACATCTGGAGCATTTCAAGTCATATTTAAAATTAAATTTATCCCATCAGAAACTGGTAGACAATTCAAACATTTATAATAAGATAGAAATCAAGGTACAAGTTATCAACAGGTTGGGTGGTGTTTTGTCCTTGGAATACATAAAAAATGGGCATCCCTAGCTTTATCCTTTTATTAGTGTCAATTTTTTATTTTATCATTTAAGATATTCGCTACATCATAATATTATATTGAACTGGTCTTGATATTCCAAGTAATAGCATGTCCGTCTTGTTTTCTATGTTATTGCTATTTCGGAGAAATTACTGCAAGTCCTTTAGATACTATGACAAATGGCTTTTCTATAAGCTGTTGTGGTCACCAAATTGATGCTCTTGCAACTTGCATAATTACATTCATTATTAGTCTGTTGCGCCATCTGTGATGTACTTTTGGTTTGAAAAACACAGTGAGTTCTCTCTATATGAGAATAGGGACTCCAAATTCAAATAGGCAGTTTAAACTCATAAAGTAGGCATAGCCTGGCCTTGTCAACTTGTATCTTTATGGTGATCCAAGTTCTCCATATAATTGTAGCATGGTATGTTCTAAAACAGGTTAGCAGGCCAGTGTTTGATCGCTAGATCTACTTGTCTGTCATCTGAACTAATAATTAAAAATGATATTTCGAGGAGTATTTGATGTACTTATTATAAGCCTTTAATCTTTCAATCCTATGTGTTAACAAGATTCTATCTGTAAGGAATTTGAATATTATTCATATTGGATAGAATTTAATCAAGATAGTACATATCAATCTGGTTTCTCATTAATATACTTGTCATTCAATATCACAAAGAAAATTGCTTGTTAGTACGAGTGTTTTTGTTGTAGTTATTGTTGTTGTACGTTTGATTGTAATTTAAAAAACTATAAATGTCTTTCTCATGTGTTCTCTGTTGTAGAAGAAAGATCCTTTTGGGCATGCCTATGTTATAAAATGGGTGAACCCCCGTCAATGCTAGGGATGGTTAATGCATAGCCTTACAAATAGAGTGGTTGTTTTTGTGATAGGTCACAAAGGATCAACCTTACCATTGTATCGAGGCTCGCCTCTAGGCAAGCCTATGGTATATTATACCTTAGTACTTGCTTCTTGAACAGTTAATTCTGATTGAGCAATGTTTGATTATTTATTTCAGTTACCACATGACAGAATTATCTCCTTGTTGTGTTTATCACCCAACTCATATGAACAACAAAAATTTTATTGACTTCATCACTAAAACTAGGACCGGTTTTGAATAGTTATGTGATTTGTAGTTAAAACTTACATTATGGATCTAACTAATGTCCTTTGAGGTGTACCTGCAGATACTTCATGTTAAAAAATAAAAACTTACATTTTTGTCTAATTTATGCCCTCCAGATTGTACCTACAGATACTTCCTAACTGGAATTTACTTTGTTGCTTTATTATTTTCTATACCCCCCATTATCATTGAAATCAAAACCAGAATAGGGACAAATTTGGAGTATGAAGATTACATGCAAGTTCCTATATGACATGATTTTCCTTGGTTAACTATGTTTTGTCTCATTTTAGGATGATGACAAGAAGACATGGTTGAGTAGTGATAGTGCCTTGGCGCATTTTGAAGCTCTTAAACTTGAAAGAAAATCAAAGGTTTGAATGTTACACATTTTAGAAAACTAGTCCATATATATCTTCCATTAAATTAATATGGCTTTTGCATTGCTGTTTTGTTCCTGACTTCACCAATTTCTCTCTATGTGGAATTATAGGGTGATTCAGGTGCTGCAAAGGATGGAATGGTTTTGGAAGAGAATGACGAGAATGACAATGAAGTTCCTCTCGGAAAGATAATGGAAATTCTTAGATCTCAAGGAGCCAGGAAGAAGAAGAAAAAGAAACCAGTTAAAAAGGATAACTTACCTTCTGATTTGGAAAATATTGAAAATGAGTTTGACGTCTTGGGAGTGGTGAGAGAAATAAATTTGGACAATCTGGAACGAGAACAAATAATGGAAACTGGCAAATTGGTAACAGATTCTGGATGCAGAAGTGGGAAGATGACTGATAAAAGTAATGATGAAAAAGAGACAGTTTTTCCAAAAAGAAAACATGATGGAACTAGCACTGAGGTGGTGGTGGCTACTCCAAAACGCAAAAGGTCAAATTCCATGCATAGATCCAATTCAGCAAAGGGTCAAAAAGAAAACAGAAAGATTTCTCTCTCACGATCATTTGCCAAGGATGAGACAGCACATTCTTTGGTGGAACGAAGTTTATATGAGGACATGGCTGAAACTACTACTTCGGACTTGTTAGTCTCTTGCTCACCAGGCATCTCATTCAAAAGAGTTAGGAAAGTTACTGACAGGTTGCATGTTGAAAAGGCCATGAACAGTACACCAGAGGTACAACCTTTTGTCTTTGCAAGTATATTAAATTAGTGCTGGATTATATTTTTGTTGTTATGGCATACATTGCAGAAATTGTCCTTACCAGAAGACAACAAAAAGAAAGATGATCGATCCAAAAGCTTATCTAGTTCAACTAAGAAGCGTAAAAGAAGAAGCATTGCTGTTTTGGAAAAGGTATGCCAACTTAGTTTATTAGTTATCAATCGGGTTTTGTGGTAGTTGCTACATTATTTTTTTCTTTTAATCATTCTTTTTACTGCTTATTGGGGATCCCATTGTTATCTCTGTAGTACTTCTTCCTTCAACCTCAATTATTCTTTGGTTAAGATGGCATATTATAGTTACAAATTAATAGTAAAATTTTCATCAAGGAACTATTAGGATGATATACTATACTTGAATGGTACTAGTTGATAACACTTGCCCTATACATGTTTGAAAACACCTGATAGATATTGAAACTGAACCACGTGTCCCACTTATTCAAAAAATACTTTATAAGTTGAAATTGATATTTTTGGTCTTGTATTATATGTAATTATTGAAATTATTTAATAATCTGTTAGCTTTTAAAATGTAAAAGGGATCATATTGTTGAATGACTACATTTATTTTATGTCTCGAAGACTGCTACACCTAAGGAACCTGGACATTCAGGTTTCATGTTCTCCCCGAAAGGGTAAGAATATGTATCAGTCCACTAGTTAGCTGATACAGGGACCAGCCTATTTTGGAAGGACATTGAAATATTGCTTGATATTGAATGGTATGAGAATGTATCAGTTGTTACAAATGAAACTCGTCCTATATCAGTCGATACGGGTTGGTGTCGATGAGAATTTGATCAATACCGACCCAAATTAGGTCTAGTTTGACTCCAATGACTGATACTGACCCAAATCGGGTCTAATTTGTCCCCAATGGTCAAATTGACCGTTGGAGCCTCTTTTGTGGCTTTAAATCCCTTACCTCCCCCATCTTTCACTCACTCTCGTTCATTCTTACTCTTTTTCTCACTCTTTCTCACATTCTTGCTTGTGATTAAAGTTAATTAAGATTCCTAATCAGCTGATTCAAGAACAACAGAAGCAATTTCCTTCTATGGAGGCAACTGAAGCAGCTAGGCCTGTTCAGTAGAGTTGTTCCTCGATGGATCTGAAAGAAAAAATTCAAAATTTCCTCTTATAACCTAGAAGTTCTATTCATTTGTGTCTTAGAAACACTTTATTCTTATCTAAATATAATTTGTATACCAATAAATTAGGAAAAAAATCCTAAAAAGAACTTTTGTATTTTCTGGACATTTTTTTGAAATACCGGTATGTATCGGTTCATCCAAGGATCGAGACCATCAGTCGGCACGGCATGACACCACCAGTCGGCACGACACGACTGTCCTTGCTGCAATCAATCATGTTTTATGCATTCATGTTATGTTGATATATTAGCAATATAGTTACTTATGGTAACACTGTAGCTATATACTTTAACTCTTAAGGGATGGAACTTTTTTGCTTTTTGAGGCTTTTTTTGTGACACCCATTTTCTAGATTTTCACGTCCTTTGGTTTCAGTATATTGCCTAAAATTTGCATCCAGCTATGCCTTTCTTTCTCATTTGTCTTCTGTGTTGTCAGAAGATCTCAAATAAGTGCAAATTTGGTTATGTCCATCCCCATGCAACTTTATACTAAGCTTTATGAAATCCACTATAACCAGTGTTTAGTTGTCAGTCCTTGTTTCTTGCCAAATGGAAATAGCTTCAGGAGACAAATATTGGGAAGGCATTTGTGGTACAATTGGAAGTATGAGCATGAAATTTTTTAGGTTATTTGCTACATTAAAGTTAATGTGTCTGATCAGTATTAATTGCTATGTAGAATAGTTATAAGAATGAGACTGGAATAACCAGGAATCATCCCCTTGAACATCTGGTTTAATTATTAGATTGTGTCTATTGGTAAACCATAATGAATCGGCTTATCAGGTTGGTTTCTTGATGACCAACATGAACAAGCTGAATCAAACAAGAAGACCTTTGTTGGTGATTTGTGCAAAACGATTTAAATGCCCTTTATTATAATCTTTCTTATTACTTGTTCTTGGGGGTATTTAAGTTGATTAGTGATCGGATTTAGCAGTGAAGTTAACGGGCGCTCATCGAGGTGCCAGAGCGAGGTGAGGCATGACCCGAGTGCTCGATAAGGGGGCCAAGCAGGCATCTTGACTTGGGCGCGGGCCAAGAGTGCACTGGGGCCCACGCCTACCTGATTCAAATCGGGTAGGAGCGAGCTAGATCATTGGATTTGGTTCGATCAAACTAGATCATTGAATCTTCACACATGTACCCTCGGTCCATGCACACGATGAGATGACTCGTGGAAACCTAATCGATGAACGGCGACTCTTCCTCTGCATCGACAAACGACAGTGGCAGCGCTACCAGCATCTTCCTCTCCATCAATGAACTGTGACGATAGCAACCTCTTCCTCTAATGGGCTCGTCCTCACTATCTCTCCTCCATCGTCGCCCACTCCATCGTAGCCTGGCAATGCCTTCCCCACTTCTTTGCAGCTCTCTTCCCCTCCCTCTTCCGCCCACCTTCCCCATGGTGCCTCTCCCCCACTTCCCTTGTCTCTTCCTTTCCCCTCGTTGCTAGTGTCCCCTCTTCACCTTGTGGTAATCGTCTGCCCCCCTTCCTGTGTCGACAGCCTCCTCCTCGCATCAGCGTCTTCCCTTCTCCTCCCTACGACGGTGGCTTTCTCTTTGTCATCCTTTCACCCCTGCGGCCAGCATCATCTGCCCCTTTGCTTCACTGCCTCTTCTTTGACAACCTCCTCGTCCTTGATGCCTCCTCTCCCTCCAACATCTTCCCCTTCCAACCGAGAACCCACAACCACCCAACTTCCATACCTCCTCCCTCTCCTTTATGGATCCTTTATCCTTGCCTCCCTCTGAATTGACAGCAACCCCCTCTCGATACCCAACAACCCCCTTTTCATCCTCCTATGTTAATTGTTTTATTAATATAGATTTGAACAATATAATTTGGTCCTTTAAATGAATACTGCATTATTTCTTTTATTTAAGGGATTATATCTATTAACCATGATATATATTTTTTAAAAAAATTAATATTTGGGAGCATCGAGCAAGCTCCTAGTGCCTTGGGCATTTTGGCACCTTGGTGCCATTTAGCACCTCTCTCCTTTGACTACAATAGGATTTAAGGAAAAAGGAATGCTCTCGTTGAGGAGTCTGAATGTCTTCCTACTGTCATCCATCTCCTGCATCTTCCAATATACTATGTGCCACCATTGGTCCCTTTGGTCACCCCTCTTTCTTCAACTGCACCTATCTATCGAATCGCTGCACTTGTACCTACTGCTTTTCTCCTTTTGGCTGCTCATCTCTCCAATTGCCCCTCTCTCCTTGGTTCTTCTCTCTCCATCGAATTTAGTGTGTAAGATGTTTTACATATTCCACTAATTTAATCTTTTCAGTAAATAAAAATATAATATTATGTTTTAAAATATTTTATTATTAAATATGTGATTCAACTAGCTGACTCACTTGTCCAACAATGACTGACTCAAGGTTCGGCCAATTATTTGTCAGATCAGATCCCATAAATATGCTATGTGATATAATAACCATAAGAGTAATAAAAATTCTGTTGTATTAAATAACAGTTTAGTATTACATCTTGTCATGCCATTGATTCTCTTACAATTGTGCATAAAATTATAAGATTTAAAATATCAAGCTTGTAGGAAAAAAGTAAAATACATGATTACTGATGCATAACCTCTTTAAAATAATATTTCATTAAATAAAGATGCAGCAAAAGGTACAACATCCATATGTTTCTCTGTGTTTTTGTAAGTTAGATTCCTGATCCTAATGAGTCATTGAAAGAATGGAGTCTTATTGCATCTATAAGACACCAAGACATGGATGGTTTTCCTTTATTCTTTTCTGTCAAGCCTACAATTATATGAACATGCATATAGCATGTATATCTCCTAAAGTTGTGCACGATACATTTTGTATGCTTTCTTCTGTTATCATTAACAATTTGTATGCTTTTTTCTGTTATTATTAACAAAATAATGGGAGTTTATTTTGACCAACTGTATATACCTGCAGTGTTCATCGCAGAGTAATCAGTTAAGTGATGCTGAGTTGGTTGGTTCAAGAATACGGGTTTGGTGGCCTTTGGATAAACGGTAAATACCATGTGAATTTTACATAGGTGCATCTATAAAAGCTTTCTATGTCTACTAGAGTGATACTGCCAAACATTTTTATTCAGTAGACAGTAGTAGAATGTGCTTTGTATAAATCTACTGAAAGTTGTAGTACTTGCCTACTTGGAATAACTGATGCTGGCATTTTGCAGGTTCTATGAAGGTGTTGTACGTTCTTATGATTCAGGAAAGAAGAAGCATACGGTAAATACCAACTGAGGTTGTTGCTTTCATTACTGTAGATGTTCTTTTGGGTTCTTTGAAATGTCCCAAGGCTAAGGTCATATATTATCTTTAAACAACTATGTTTTCAAACTTGTGTTCTATATTTGAAAGAAAAAAGCTATTGCTAAAGATATAAATGTTCATCCTCGATGAATTCAAATCTCAGATTTATGGTGGTTTGAGGTTTTCTTTCCCCTTCAAGTTCAATTGTATTTGGCATCTAATAGGTTGTTGTATTTACTTTCACCAAGTGTTACAAGACTGATCGAGACAGGTCAGGATCCTACATGCAGATGCTGACTCTGCAAAAGATTTTTTTTTTTCATGGCTGTGACATACATTAAAATTTTTATCAAGCCTATTTCATTGAGGACTGAGAATAAGGTTACCAGATTTTGTAAGGGGATGTTGAATTGCCTGCCATTGGGATTAATGGTCAATTATAGGCAATTACCAAAATAAGCTTTCTTGGATTCTTGTAAAAGGGGGCTGCACCTGCATGACAGCCTGTAGTCAGAACATTCAAATCTATTACAGATAATTTAGCCACAGGTGGGCTTCGATTTGCAAAAGTTGCATTTTTAATTGCAATGCAGGCCCAATTCAAAAGCAACTATACACAAGTTGTGTTTGTTGCATGGTTTGGAAAATTTTGTTAAGAATTTTTTTATCTATATGTTACTGTTAAAGGGGAACATACAATCCTTTAGAAGTTTCTTGAGCTAGAAGTTGTTGTCATACCATATTTTTTATCCCAGATTCTTGTTTATCTATTTGCTTATATGCATCCTTCCGTTGCTACCTCTTTCTAAAACCTTTATTGAATTGAATTGAATTAGAGCTTTGCTTTGTTTGACCTGTTCACTCATCTTATAGATACTGTACGAAGATGGAGATATGGAAGTGCTTCAATTAGGCAAAGAAAAATGGGAAATTGTCAGTAACACTGACACTCCTAGAAAGGTTGGTTCTTTGCACTTGTTTTTCTTTGCTGGGTCCTTTGTTAAATTCATGAATTGTCGAAGTATCTGGTACATTACTATTGGTTCTGTTATTTGCAGCAAGCAAAATCACAACATCCATTGGCTTTTAAAGATAAGTGAGTTCATCTACTCTTGTTGTATGTCTTAACTGTGTTTTAGCAAGAGAGTTGGATCACTTGGATGCTGATCTACACTGTGATGTGATGTTAATTATGAGCATTTCCTCATTCATCTTTTGCATTTTTCTTTCATGCATGACATAAAAAGCTCAAGGCCACTTTTCTGACCTGAGAATGAACCGATCTAGTTTATTTAATGCCCCCTTTCTGTCGAAGAAGCTATGTAGTTTCTTTGATATCCTTTTTATTAAAAAATGGCACATAAGTGTGATATTTACTTCATAGACCTCCTATTTTGACTGTCGAATTCTTCAATCCATGGATGATGTTTCAGGTCACTTGACTTTGTAAATTACAGAAGTGACCATTCTGATTCTGGACAAAGTAAGGAGACGAAGAAAAAGTAAGTAGATTTCCCTTTTGTTTTGTCCTTTTGCCTGTCAAACAACCAATTTATTGGATTGAGCAATTGACAGGTCTTCCTCATTCAAAGCTAAAAAAAGAGGTACTTCGAAAAAAGATGCTGGGGAAAACAGCAAAATAGTGTTAGAGAGTAAAATCAGCGCAGACTCTAGTCTGGACAGTAGGGGCGACTCTGATCTATCAGATATCCACCCCCGCTCTGAATTCAATGATGTCAAATCAGGTACATCCATGCAACATTTTAGTTATCCATTTGTTAGGTAGGTATCCATCCTTGCCACCTATGAATCTCTTTTTCAGTTGGTTGTCATTACTTGCCTTTTTCTTTAGATAAAATCACACAGAAGAAAGTATCACCAGCCTCAGAAGTTGGGAAGCAAACAAAAACGAAATTGAATGAGTTAGCCAAATCATCAAAGGAAGAATCACGAGATTTTTCCAGTTCAGCTGGGAGGGAAGACTCGGATGATGAGCCTATTGTATGTTCTTCAGCTCTCTATTTATATTTCAAAAATCTAGAGCGTCACTAATTGTTCTGCCAAAACAAATCAATGATGCAGAGTACATGGAAGCTACGAGCAGGGAAGTCTGCCTGAATCTTCAAACTCCAACCTGATCTTCGACACTCACCTCAAGATTTCATGGTCATGATGGCTTCGATGAAATCACCCAAAAGATAGTGATACTACAACGTGGATACAAAGATGAAAGCTTTCTGTAAGATAACATATGGCCCAAGGTTGGTGCAAAGTTTATCCCCCCTGGGAAAGTTCCATCGCTAGTGTTTCTTTGCATAAACAATCAAACTTCCTGTGGGCAATTTCGTCTTCCATCGACGAATTAGTTGTGGGGTGTAGGTTATGGATTCACAATCCATTTTGTTTCTTCTTGTGTAGCCAGCATCATTATCTTGTATGCAAACAACTGACAGACCAGATAATCTGAATGGAACTGAATAGTTAGAACGTTGTTGATTCATTTTGGTGGCTTCTTCTGTTGACTGATGCATTCAGTTAGAGGCATTTTGGTGGCTTCTTCTGTTGACTGATGCTTGAATCCTCTGGCTTTCACAAGTCAAATCCTCTGGCTTCTGTTGACTGATGCAGGGCACCTTTGTTTCATACTGATTGAGTATTGCTTGCTTCTATTCGAACATTGATCTATGATCATGTCATTGCAAAGCCAAGCCATCATGTTGATGACTCATTCTCTGCCTGCGGTGTTTTCTGTAGCATTTTTCCATGCTTCATCCTCTGCATACATCTCCCTCCTATTATATTTGACAGTTTAGGCATCGGATTTATCTATGCAATTTTGTTTGGTCAACTATGTCAATCAATGCCATTTGTTTTCTCGTTGACACTCAAAACGCTTCTGTGGCTGTTACAGAAGAGACCAAAAGCGCCACCCACCTTTCATGCCGCATGCTCTCTCCGTGTCCAAAAGCCCTCACTTTCCACCCCCAGACGTTCGCCTTCGCGGAGTTGTCATCGTCGCAATGGCGTCCTTTTGGAGAGAGGTCATTCTCACAAGCTCTCCCAACCATCCGATCACCGCCCTCGATCCGCTCACCGGAACCATCCGCGCCCGCTTCTCCGGCAGCCACACCCCTCGGAAGGGCCTGACGCTCGTCGGTGACGCCCTCATCGCCGCCTCCCACGTCTCTGCCACCGCCTCGGGCTTCATTCGATTGTACGACCGGTGGACCTCCAACTTGGTGCACTGCCTGCCAACGCCTGAGCCGGTGGCCTCCCTCGTCGCGACTCCAGACGGATCGTACCTCTTTTCCGGTGGCCTCTCGGGCTTTGTTCACGCTCTCATTCTTCCCTCCGGTGATCTCCTGCGCTCGTTTCGTGCCCACCGCCAGCCTGTCTCCTGTTTGACTGTCAACGACGACGGCTCGCTTCTGATCTCAGGTGGTGATGACGGCACGATTGTAGTGTTCCCCATAATTCGACTGCTGGATGCCGCTTCCGGCGATGATGATTCCGCCCAACTTGCGCTGTGCCGGTTCGCTGCACACGACTTGTCGGTGACCGGTGTCTCTTCCAGACCAGGCGGCTGCAATGCGACCATGGTTTCGAGCTCCCTCGATGGCACATGTAAGCTTTGGAGAATAACAGATGGCAGCCATCTACGAACCGTGAAGTTCCCGTGTCCAATGTGGTGTACCGTCATGGAGCCCACAAGCTCTCACATCTACGCCGGAGGAGCAGATGGGAGAGTGTACGCGGTGCCGCTGGTGGCCAGGCGACGTCGAACACCACTCGACGAGGCAGATGTTACGGCGTGGGAAGCAGAGCAGAGCGGAGCAGTGACGGCACTGGCGATGGCAAACGGGAACCAGAATCTAGTCTCAGCTTCAGAAGAGGGGCTCATAACTATCTGGGAGACGGAGCACGGATCGATCGTACGATGCTTTGGGCATGAAGGCGGAAGCATCGGAGATCTCCTGGTGGCCGGAGGAGGAGCTACTGGATTCAGAGCAGCTCGTAATGGAGATGAAGCACGTTCATCCCCTGGAGGAGGGTTCTGTAAGAGGGAGATGAGTAGGAAGATCACCGAGGCGATGGAGATGGATGAATGGTTGAGAGTGGTCATGATAGATAAGCACCGGGCCGTCGACATGCTCGAGACGGCGATCGGAACCTACCGGAAGCTCTTAGCTTTGCTTCTCAGGGAGGCCAAGAGAGGCATCAACGAAGAAGATGCTACGGACGTGTACCATTCTACATCTGTATGAGATATGAATGCAATGAACGAAGAGTACGTATACCACCATTCACGTTTTTACCTGCGAGTCACTTGTGCTGTTCACAGCACACACTATGTTGGGCATCACTCATTCATGAAGTCATTCAATTGAGAAGTAATAACATAAAAGAAGGAAGGAAGATGAGACGGGAGATAACTATAGAGCATAACACAGACGAAGCCTTCTTCGTTCCTCGTTGCAGGTTGATGCTACGAGTGCTGAAGACCCTCACCTTCTCTTATTCCCGAGCTTGCAGACACAGAAAGCACACCCCCAAGCTGATACTTGTCCACCCCACCTCGCCCACATGTTCCACTCCCCTTCCCTGTCCCCATTAATCCCACAAGTATCGCTACTCCTTACCACATTCCATCGACTTTACTCGTTAACCTCATCCACCTCTGCTCTCTGCGACCATTTGGTAATCGAGTGAGTCCCAAAGAGCATCCCTCTCCCCCTTACAACACACACGTTATTGCACTACATATTATATATTGCTTAGTTATCCCTGTTGGTGCTTCGTTATTTGTAGGGAGGATAAGGGTGGTCAAAGTTGGGCATCCCGTTGACATGGGAGTAGCTTCCGCTTGCACTGGATCCTTCCCCACTCCCATACATGCCGAGGAAGTAGCTGACCATGCTTTCACTTAAGAGGTTGTGATGCTGCGGGGCGGCGGTAGCTGGCGGTGGCATGACGAAGTTCGGCGGTGGCACCGGGGCGGTGGTGAAGAACTGGGAGGCAGCCGTAGGTATATCAGGGACGGCGGTGGGAACGGCTCGGTGTTTGATGAGTTGGAGGGCCTCCCCCCGGACGGAGCCGCGGTGGTCGCCCTCCAGCTCGCGGTAGCGGTGGAGGAACAGCGTGAGGGGCTCGATGTAGTCATCGAAGCCGAGCTTGTTCATGGCCCACAGCACGTCCTCGGCGGTGACGGTCTTGCGCTGCTCTCGCTGGCACCGCTCGTTGGCCTCGCTGGTGATGAAGCTGATGTACTCGGAGACGCACTCCTGGATCATCTCCTTGGCGTCGTCCGCGATCTTGGCGTGGGCCGGCAGCACCCTGCGCATGATGCGGATCACGTTGGCGATCGGCATGAAGCGATCCTGCTCACGCACGACGGGCGGGGCGGCGGCTCCTGCTGCGGCAGCCGGGTTCAACTCCATCGGAGGATCTTGGATCAGCGGAACCCCGGCCACGCCCTCACCGGCGACTCCTGCACCACCAACGACCAACGCTGCAATCAATTAGTATCACTCCATGGCAGGAGAAACATGCATTAAACGGACACGTGTCAGAAGTGTATGCGTAGCGCCAGTAGGACTGTGGGAAGAGATGGAGGTTCATAGGCGCCGTCGTGTTGCCTCGTCCAGGGAGGACACGTGGCAGGCGGGGTGGGAGGCGGGTAAAGAGATTGACTCGTTGGAGGCCACGGCTGACCGGACCTGTGGAACAGAAAACGACAAGGACTAGCCTCGTGAACATAAGACTGACGCGGATGACGACGTTCACGTAATTGGCGGACGTTAAGGCAACTCGACGTACGGCTCAGATCGTCCAATCGAGTGGAGTCCACACGCATCGGACGTGCCAGATTGAGTCAAGTCAACAGAGAGGGGGTAAATTTTGAACTCAACGGGACCAGTAAAAGAGGCGTTTCAAGTCTGACCTAATTTAGTCCTGGAGAAGAGCAATTATGGAAGATGAAGCAGCTTTATACGAAGTCCAATCAACTTCTTCGTCAACAAAGAGGAAGGGCCAGAGATAAAATGCATACGAAGTTTCCCTATCCCGTAAAATACTGTTCTTATGGTCATAAAACTGATCCAAAAATACCTAATATTTTCTGCAACAAGAAAGAGAAGTTTGTGCTTTGGTTCCTCTTTGGTAGTAAAATTTCTGGAATCCAATCAACTTGAGTATAAAGACTAGCTAAAGGGAGAATCCTTCGTGAATCTTCAACATGGTGGATGAAAATACCAAAAGAAGAACAATAAATACAGTGACTGTGTTTACTGTGTTGGAGATCGGAGCATTATCATGCATCATGATATGCTGCATAAACCATGAAATGGAAATGAATCTTAAAAAAACTCGGACGGCGGTGATCGTGGACTCATGTGCGTTAGAGAGAGAGAGAGAAAAGGGTTCTCCAAGTGGGATATATTCTACAGAACCTGCGAGATCATGGTCGCCAAGGAAGCCTGCACCACTTGCCATCGCTGCCGAACCCCCTCGCCTTTGGTTCTGCCTCTCTCTCTATGAAAGGTGGTGGAGAAGGAGAGCGTTGCGGGCTCTACTTTATACTGCTCTCGTCACATAGCAATTGGCACTCCAAGTGGCACGACGCTGGGTGGTGCAGCGGCACAAACGAGAGACTGAGAGAGGGTTCTGGTTACCCCCAAGGTGAAGGTATGATGATCCTCTCTAAATCTTAGGTTTACGGAGACTGGATCATGGAAAATGTGTAGAGGAAATCACATCTTTGCATGCATTGGAATCATCTGATTTCTCTTCCTGGCTACTGCATTAATTAATCCCTGCATTAACACCACAGGATTTGTTACATGCACTTTACTCCCGTCTTCCAAAATGGTCAATGCATTGCAGGGGGGGTCGAGTCAGCACGTGTATATGCTGACAAATTATTCCAGCTAATCACTCTGCTACTTCATACCTTACGATCGTTATTGATATGCTATCAAGTCTCAGTAACTCGGATCGTAATTCTCATCTCACTTTGGTTTCCTTTGTTTCACGGTCATGCATAATGAATGCTTTGCAAGGTGGCAGTGCAGAATGATTGTTGCAATTCCTCGATCATTCATTCATCCAAGCCAATTGTTCTCGCTGTTAAGGAGTGTTGCAGATTGCATCATTCTTTCCCAACTTTTACTGAGAGACATGCCATGCCAGTGGACTCCGATAGAATTGACGTGTAATAATTGCACTTGCGGAAGTTTCCCCCTGTGATCTTTCTTCCTTGCAGTGTAGTCTTCTTCTCCTAAAAACTGAATGAATTCCTAAGTAAGACCCAAACAAAATTGTTCCTTATGATCATGTCGCCGACGATTATCCATGTATCTTATATTCTTTTTGTTCCAGATTCTCTCGACATTTGTGATGCTGATGCTTCTGCTACACGAAAGAAGAAATACTTTTCATGCACATTCATGGAACAAGAAATATTCTCCGAATTCATATGGCAGGAGAAGTGGAACATTTCATAAGAATCCTTGCGTATGAAACAGCAATAAACAGTGATAAAAGAATCCTTGCCTACGCTTTGCATCTACTTCAAGCGATTCCACCACTTGGCACTTACACGATGGAACAGCAGGATGAAAGCCAAGCCCTTCAGGTTCCCACACAGTGATACCATGTAGTGGACTAACATGCATGGGGAATCTACGTGCCCGATTGATACGTGTGCTTCGCGCACACGGAGGTTTCGTGTGGAGCAGAGAGCAAAACACACGAATAAGACGAACACGTTCCTGACTGTCAGCTAGAAAATTAAAGTGTTGGCCTCTGTTACCAAATCCCGTCGTCGTCTTATGCTACCCACTTCTTGTCTTAGCCTGCATGCGAGGGAGGACTCTTGGCGTGCAGTCCTGAGCGAAGACAAAGCTCTACTTTGAGGTCATTGGAGGGATATAAAGCAATAAGCCCATATTATTTTGGACGATTGTTTAAGAAAATACTCGTATTTTGAGTATTTTCTCAAACCATACCCCCATTTAAATTATTCTCAAATCATGACCTCTAATTCGAAAAAACCAAAACTATCCCTACCCATCCTCCACCTCTGTGGTTATGAGGTGGAGGGGGGAGGAGGAAGGGGAAGGAGGGGAGATGAGGGGGAAGGACTGGCGACGGGAGAGGAGGAAGAGGAGGGGAGACGTGCAGGCGGCGGAGGCGCCGGTGGCAACGGTGGAAGAGGAGAGAACGGGCAGTTTGGATAGTTTTTGAATTAAGAATTATATATATATATATATATATATATATATTGGTGCCCATAATATATACCGGCGTGTTTTAGATGACACGAGATCGTATACATGCTGAGTGATATAGACGTGGACCCACGGGCTATAGGTCGAGGGCTTTCCGCCACGTGTATGTACCGGGCCGACCCAATTACGGTGATGGGCTGCTTACAATGGTGGCTGGTATTTGACACGGTCGGCCTCCTCCCGCGCCGCCGCCTTGTTCCCCTTCAAGCCTCGCGCGCGGCTCCTCCCCAGTTACCGTTTCCTGGGCCTGATGCGTTCATTCAGCCGCCACGGCCACCACCACCATCCGCTCCCCCTGCGACGGCCACCACCGACTCCAACCCTGTGGTGGATTTAGAATCCCCGTGGAAAACATGACATTGGATGCACTTTGTCTGAGTTATGCAGAGGCTTCAAACCATGGAACAGTCAAAGGATCTGTTTGTTTTTGGACTATACATGACAGAATTCAAACAAATTAGTCGGAATAGTGAAGATACATTCCAGTCTCTCGATGAGCAATTCATGTTGATCAGTTGAATGCTACTACACTCACTAATCCTCGTCATCTGATACTATTGCAGGTCCTGACAGCAGTCTCATTTCATCACTCTCATCGTCTATCCCATCAGTAATGTCAATAGCTTTGGTGGAAAGCTTTTGCTCATCTCTAACTTCACTGCTATTTTCCAGCTCAAGCTGCTGCATCTCTGATGCTATCAAGGAATCCATTCTTGCTCGCTCTCTGTCTCTTGGATAGGTACAGTATAGGAAAGAGTAGATGGAACAACATAGTGACATTGGAATTGCTATAGCAGTGTAAAGCGCCTTGGCCAACGAGGCAGCGTTTGCTCTGTCCGACTCGAGAACTGCACCTTCACCTGATCCACTGGGAGTCGGTCTGTAACCATAGAGATGCTCAGCTAAAATGCCAACAACTGGAGGAGCAAACGACGCGAGTATGGACTCAAAGGATCTATCTAGTGCGTAGATGCTCGTTCGAGATCTCTCCGGGACTATTTCTGCAAATATCGGACTGCACGCACCAAAAAAAAAAAAGAAGATTCAGCAAAGAAACGTTGCTCTGATAAGAGCTTAATTAGTGACTGCATGCATGACGTACTTGTTAGTGGCCGCCGCGTTCCAGGAGATGCTTAATCCCATGATGAAGAAGACAAGGCCGTGAGCAAGCCCTGTGGAGGGGTCACCAGGCAAGACCAGTAACAGCACACCGGCAAGAGGAATGCAAGAACCAGAGCTTATCTGTGACAACACTATCCTTCCGGCGTTGGGGAAATGCTTTGCAAGAAAGTCCCCCATCTTTCCCCCAAACAGTGCTCCAAGCGACGTCGCAATGGAGAACAATGTCATGAGGAGTCCGGTCTCGCCGTGGGAGAATCCGACGAGCTCCAGCCACATCGGCATGAACGAGAGGGCGGACCACGGAAACGATCCGCTGATCCCCTGAGCCACGATGATCTGAAACGAAGGGATTCTCATGACAGTCTTGGCTTCTTCGATCAGAGCCTTTAGTTCTGCCCAAATCAACTTCCTCGAGGTGGCTTTGTCGCTTGCACCAGTAAGGTTCTTAGGGAAATTAGGATCCACTGCAAAGAGCCGGACCAGAATTCCTACTACAACACTTAAAATGGTGATCAGATGGAAGGCAACTCTCCAGCCAGCGATTCCCATGAACGAAGTGGACGCCAGCAGAAGGCCCAAGAAGTTGCCGATGATGGAGCCGAAACCACTGGTCAGATATAGCCATCCAAATGCCGATCCACGAGTGCTGTCGTTGGTGGAATCGGCCACAAGGGCTTGGATGGATGGTATTACCAGAGCTAACCCGACCCCATTGAGAGCCCTTGCGACTGCTACCTGTTTACATTCAGATCTTCGCTTGTTAATCGATAGATGGAAATCTTTGTCAAGCTTGCATAAGAAAACAGAGAGATTGGATTCCAATCCGTGGGAAACGGCGACGGCAACATCAAGCGGAGTACCTGGAGGAAGGTGGTGGAGACAGCAACGAGGAAGGTGGCGGCGGACCAGAGGAAGGCGCCGAGGGCCACGACATGGGTCCGGTCGTACCGCATGGACATGTAAGCGGCGAGGGGATAGCAGCAGGTCTGCACGATGGAGCGGAAGAGGGTGAGGGATCCGAGGGCGGTCGGGGTGGCGTCGAGGGCGGCACCGACCTCCTTGTACACCGCCGGTAGCAGCGCCTCATCTGCCCGCTCCATGATCCCGGCCAGGTTCACCAGGACCAACGTCCTCGTCTCCACCCCCATTCCCATCGCCACCATTTTTTCTCCGTTCACCCTTCCTTTGGATCGAAGTCAGAGGGTCAAGGAGTTGGACTTGGCGGCCAATGAAACAGGGAGATCTGTGGAACGCGGGAAAGGAATACATTAAATATTACATGCGGTCATGACCACATGAAAGGCTCCCAGGATTAGGACCAAGAACTCTCAGCCACACGGCGGCGAGCGAATCAGCTGGGCTCCACCGGAGACAACTCCGTCGGTGTAGATTGCGAGGGCCAGCGCCATCGTTTACTTTGGTGTATGTTATTATTCATCTTCCTCGGAGTGGGTCGCAGGTGGCGTCCTGAGGCGCGTGACCATTTGTTTGATGAAGACGGAGACGCCATTAATCTAGCACATCACATGAAGTACTGTTGGATCAGAGTACCTACGTTGTTTCCGAGAGGCAGCAGAATTCTTCCTGGTTGCTCCTGATCTTGTTTCCGAGGCCATTGGAGATGCTACAACTGTGTTCTCCACGCTGATGTAATCGTCGGATATGGGACACTTTTTGTATGAAAAGAAAAGGTGGTAGAAATTGCAGCGAGGTTAGTGCAGATAGAAATCATAATAAAGATATAAAATGATCCTTTAGTTCACTCCTCTTCGTAATATGTTGTTTAAAGAAAAAAAAAAAAGCTTTCTTTCCTTCCTCCTCTTATCTCTTCCCATCATAGTTTACCCTAGCGACAATAATCTCTTTGTCATTTGCTGTCACTATTGTTGCCACAATAGCAAACCCTTTTCTCGATGATCTATACATGTATTAGATTTTCTCGAGGGCGTCTACTCCCTCATCTTCCTTATTATCGATAAGCTCTTTACCACCAATTTCATCGGTGTCATCGGACGTCTCCTTCAATGTAAATATCAGATCTCTTGAAGCCATAACCTTCCCAACAACTTACCACTGATTGATGTCATCATGGTCATCAACCTTCTTATTAGCCACAAATGTTGCCACAACTTCATTGGTGTCCTTGGAGACCTCCTTCAATGTAGATTCCAGATCTATAAATATGAGATTTCACAAAGATAAAGCAAGAGATGGAACTTCATTATAACTTACTCGTCATCTCCTTTATTCTAAGTAACTCCATCATAGCCACCGACCAACCTCTCGATGCCACTATCACAATATGGGCTCTTTCCCCTTCATTCCAGATTATGAGTCCTTCGATATTTATAGTTTCATTGATCTCTATCATATTCCTCCTTATGCCTTTCTTAGATCTTTCACTAACAAATCAGATCTCTATTGTTTATTATCTGCTATATCATCAATTGGTTCTGGATTTTTCTTAGTGGATCACAGTATATTTTTAGTATATTTTCCTCATCTACATATGACACTCCAATTATTGTTTCCTTAAGAAAAATATTTTATCTCAATCAACATAACTTATATCCATTAATGCAGCAACTTTAATCTCCTTCAAACTATTAAATAGCGATAAATATGTATCTTAACAAGCACAATTCACCAATCTCCTCTTTGAATATGATCTATTAGGTTATATCGATGACTCTCTTAGTTGTCTACTGGAAAAGATCGAAATATCAAGAGAAGTCATCCCAATAACAAGTCTTAATCATAAGTTATGGTTATGATAAAATCGTCTTATTCTATAAACAACTTAAGTCTCAATCATTAGCTCTATAGTACCACTAATCTCTTCATGCATTAGTATAACAAAAGCATGGTTACAATTATAAATCACCTTTGCCGATCTCTCTCACACTTGTATAATAAATCTTTTATCAATTTTGATGGAAATAACATAAGAGGAAAGCATTATTGTTGATTATATGTAAAATCTAAAAGCTGTTATAGATAAGTTAACTTTAATATATTATCCCCTGAGTGATGAATAAGCATTATTTATATTCTCAATAGCCTAAATGACAAATATAAGGAACTAATGATAGTAATTCACCAATATCATTTGAAGAATTATATGATAAGTTGATTGATCATAAAACATATCTGAAATAAGAAAAGAGAATAATGGGATCAACTATCATAACTTAATTCAATAAAAAAATTTAAAAAAGATAATCAAAATAATAAGAACTTTAACAAAAGATTAAACAAAATACCTCTTGAATACATAGGTAACACACAGATGTATCATCTTCCATTACACTATTAAACCTCTAACCTTTGTAGCAATTTCAATTTAGATAGTTCAAAAATTTCAATTATAACTATCAGCAATTCTGACATCCCAACAATAACAATTAATAAAAAAATATTTACCTGTGATAAAATTGGATACACAATAAAAAGTTCATCATTGTCAACCCAAGCCTACTGCTACACTCAACTGACCTCAAGCAAACATCATGACTACTCTAATTGTGCATCTAAGTAATTAAATTATTGACTTCAGTACTTGGTTCAAGGTCAAAATAAAGACAATATCCATGAATGACCATCAACTTCACAAATCACCCGATCATTCGCTTTTGTTTTAGTTGTTGCTCTAATTAATGTGCGATATAATCACCTTGGTTATCCATCATCCTCAATTCAACGGTAGCTAATTTTTTGTTACTCGTTTCTGACTTTCAAATAAGATAGAATTATAACTCATTATGATGATTATCTTAGTAATAAAAGTTAAATACTATCTTTTGTAATATTTTCTATATTTTACTTCAAACCACTTGAGATTATTTACATTGATGTCTAGCGCTTTGCCCAAATCACTTTCTTTAATAATTTTAGATTTTATATTATTTTTATATATTATTTCACTAAATATATATGGCTATATCCTCTCAAATATAAAATATGAAGTCATTAGAATCTTTACTCATTTTAGAACAATAGTTGAGAATTTCTTCCAATCTATTATTAAAATAATTTACTTTAATGGAGAAGATAAATACTAAGCCTTAATAACTTATCTCTCATCTTGTATTATACAACATTTCAAGTTACCACCACACACACATCAATTAGTTAGTTTTATCAAACGAAAGTATCAACATATAGTTGAAATTAGTTTCACCCATTTACACTATGCCTCCTAACTTTTTAGTTAGTAATCTTTTAAACAATAATCTATCTTATTAATCATATGCTCACCCCAATCCTATAATACTAGTCATCATCTGAAAAATTATTTTCATAAAATCCCAAACTATCAAAAACTTAAAGTATTTAATTATTTATGTTATCCCTATCTATGCCCTTATGCTTCATACAAGTTAACACAGATTCAAGTGTTGCATCTTCTTTGGGTACTCCCTCGAATATAATGTTTTTCAGTGCTTTAATCCTCATGCTCAAAAGGTTTTTGTATCACGTCATGTTATTTTTCTTGAGTCTACCTATTCCTTCCAAAATCTTTCTCTTTCAATAATGTGAGTCATTACAACAACCATATGTCATTAGGTTCATATGAATATACCTCAAACTCCCTTAAGTGTTTCTCTTATCATATCAACCAATAGTTCTATTATAGACCTATACTCTCTTATTACTCCAATTCAATAGAATTTCACTCTCTCTACAACTTCTCCATCTACCTCTCTACCAACTCACTATATAATGCCAACGAAGCAATGTCCTTAGCATTATAGTGTATCAGCCTGATTAAATATGTATCACTAACTTTCCACCAATTCTCATTTATTTAACACAACCCAATAATACCATTAGCTTGAACACCGCATGATAACATGCTCCAAAAATGACTTCTTCAAACCAGGTCGGTCAAATCCTTGATCTTCATTCATGCTACCCTACTAAATTTACAACCATCACCCAAACTCAAAAATCTTTACACTAGCATAAAATCATGTGTGAAGAATATAATGTCCTACTCAATAATATCATATGAACCCTTATATCATCTCACCACACACAAAATGTTATCGGGTGTAAGTGAATATTTCAAATTAGGTAGAACTTATATAAATCTATTTCTAGATATAAAACACATTTAGTGTCCAAAGGATTTCACCAACGATCAGGTGTTGATTTTATAGAGATCTTTAGACTAGTTGTTAAATTGATGATAATCTAGCTCATCCTAAGTTTAGTAATTACTAGCATATATGTACCTTCTTACAAGAGATATTAACTCAAGATGTCTTTATGTAATAAACCTCTAGCTTCATTTACCCTCAATATCCAAATTATGTTTGTAGACTATGAAAACCTATTTATGGACTTTGCTAATTTCCAAGAGCATGGTATAGCGAAGTTGGCTTATATTTTATATCAACCGACTTCGTTAACTCCAAGTCTGACACTTATTTATTTCTATGGTAATAAAGGGATGCACTATATATCTACTGATTTATGTGGATAATATCATCATCGCAAGTAATAGTTCTATAGAGATCGAGTAATTCATTAAGCAATTAACATATTTATTTTACATCAAAGATCTAGGAACCTTAAGTTGTTTTCTAGGAGTGGAAGCAACGTTCACATCTTTTGAACTTTTCTTATCTGAAAAGAAGTACATTCGAGAACTATTATTAAAGACAAATATGTATAATGCTAAAGAAGTCGCTGTCATACTCTTCACCACTAAATGTGTAATATCCCATCAGTCCCACATCGGAAGTGGGGAATGTGTAAGATTAGCTTATAAGGGCCTGATGAGTGTACTACGTAAACTCCCGCTTGAGCATTTTGGTCCGTGGTTGCAGGACCAAAATGGAGTTATTGGCCAGTTAGCTCATCAGACTCGTGTGCCCTTATAAGGGCCTGATGAGTGTACTACGTAAACTCCCGCTTGAGCATTTTGGTCCGTGGTTGCAGGACCAAAATGGAGTTATTGGCCAGTTAGCTCATCAGACTCGGGTCATGACATTTGGTATCAGAGCCGACCTAGCATTTGGGTAGGGTGAGAAGGCTCGAGTAGGAAAGGAAACCTCACATGCACTATGCTAGGGTTCGATCTGGGTTATGTTCGACCTTGACGAGGACGTCAAGCTAATTGAGTTGGGGATAATGTAATATCCCATCAGTCCCACATCGGAAGTGGGGAATGTGTAAGATTAGCTTATAAGGGCCTGATGAGTGTATTACGTAAA